GAACAACAACAGGCAGTAGCAGCAGTGGCAGCAGCAGCGGCAGCGAAAATAAATAAAACAACGCATAATATTGAGCGACAACAAGAACAACAGCAACCACAGCAGCAGCAACCACTAGACGCAGCAACAATAATAAAAACAACAACAACAGCATTGAAGCAGCAAACGGAAACTAAAACGAAATTGACGGAAACAGTTGAGCCAAAGTCAAAGGTGCAATCACCGAAAACAACAAAGCCAAAAAGTGCTGGCAAAACAGCCAAAAAGAAAGTCACAGCGACTCCCACAGCAGCAGTCGCAGTCGCAGCAGCAACAGCAATCACAACAGACAGCAATGTGACCCCAATCAATGCCGATCAATTTATAACGCTGGCGGCCACTAAAGCAGCAGCAACACTGGCCACAAATGCGTCATCAACAACTGCAGCTGCAACAGCAGCAACAGTAGCAACAGCTACCACAACGACAACGCCTACAACACAAACACCAACAGCAACAGCAACAACAACTGGCGACGATCAGACGACACAGCAACAATCTGTGGCGACTGTTGCTGATGCTTCTGCTGCTGTTGCTGTTGCTGTTGGTGTTGGGGGTGTTGGCGTTGTCGTTGTGGTGGCTGTTGTTGGAGTTGTTGCTGTTGCAGCTGTAGTTGTTGATGACGCGGTTGTGGTTGGTGTTGCTGCTGAGACAGTGGCCGCTAGCGTTAGAAATGGATCGGTATGGGTTGGGGTGACGTTGGTGATTGTTGTGGTTGCTGTTGCAGCTGCGACAGCGGAATTCTACGATTCCGGTGCTGATGCTGTTGCATGAGAATAAACAGCGCAAGGAGAAGAAGAAGCAGAAGGCAAAAGATGCCGGACCGGCACGATTCGATCCACAAAAGAAAATCAAAATCGATCCGACCAGCAAGTGCTATGTGAAGGAGGAGGCGCCACGATATCCACTGGTGGCAACACCACGTCCCCTATGGAAACGTGAGAAGATCGTCTACTCCGATGAGAATACGGACGATGAAAGCAGCGAGGAGGGCAGCGAGGCAACAGCCGGCAACTCATTGGACGATGACAGCGATGAGGATGACAGCGATGCGAGGAGCAGCAGCAGCAACAGCACCACATCCGAGGAATTCGATGAGGAAACAACAAGAACAGCGCCAGCAGCAACAGCAGCGGCAGCAGCATCGGGAATAATCCCCAAGATTGGCAATGGCAATGCTGCACAGGCAGCGAACAGTAATAGTAATAGTTCCGCGTGTGCATCGGCCACCGGCAGCACTTCCGTCTCCAGTTCACCATCGATCATCCGGATGAGCACGTGCAGCAATGATTCCGGCTTCGAGGGCGGCACAGCACCCTCCAGTCCCAAAAAGATGTTAGGTAAGCGAGTTGTTCAAGTCGGCAGCATTGAATACCCCAGAGACCAGAGACCAGACACACATCTCGACTTGTAATTACACTGTAACAAATTTTGGTTAAATCTAATCGGAAATCTTGTATGATTTCGAATTAACGGGCTGAATTTGTATAGTATCTCAATCGGAAGACATGCAGTGCCGATTCCGATTTAGACACCCTCGGAATTAATATAAATTATGTGCAAGTGCAAACCAAAATTTCTTACTGTGTGGACGTCTAGACAGAGAGTACAGTACAGTACAGTGCAGTACAGTGGGACAGATATTACAGTACATAAACATACACATATGCATTGACTGATGGTGGTTCCGTTGGTCATTTGAGTGGTGCCGCACGTGCCGCAGTAAAATACAACAACAACAACAAAATTGTGGTTGTGGTTGTTGTTTTTGCCGTTTTCGTTCGAACATTCCGGCCATTTACTTAGACACTAACACGTCGCCACCTCCACCACCTTCTCCTTATCCACCTGCAATGCTCTTGCTTTCAATTTCAACACACACACACAGAGAGAGAGAGAGAGAGAGAGTGAGTGTGAGAGAGAGGGAGAGAGTGCGAGAGTGTCGGAATATTTAGTTGAAAAACAAATAAACATACTATAAATTTGTATTTGCGTATATACAGAATACCTTTTAGACTACAAAACTCAAAACAACGCAAAATACACAAAAAAAAATATCTAAAAAATAGAAAAAGAAAACAAAATTTTCAATTTTGACTTGTTAAACATGTTTGGTGAATCTGTGAACAAATGGACAAATTTGACTGCAAATAAATAACTGGAGGTTTTCAGTTCAAATCGTATTCAGTCACTATTGAGTGAAATGAATCTTCTTTATAAGCAAACTAAAATCAATCTTCTTAATAAAAAATCTGAAATCTTCTTGCTTAGCAAACTAATATAAATATTTTTACCAAGTTAACGAAAATCAGTTTTCTTACCAAAATCAATGTTGTTTTAAGGAAACTAAAATCAATCAATTCTTATGTAACCCAAATCAATATTTTTTCTAAAGAAAACTATCATTAATCTTCAGCACACCATTGCAAATACATTGTCTTCCAAACATATAACAAATCAATTATAATAATTTCATTAAGATTGATGAAGCAAGACAAATTTGCGATTATCAACTGCATATTAGATAACAGAAGTCTGCAATCTGTGCAATATGCTAACAATTGTTGTTTCATATAGTGCTTTATGTGATTTGTTAACCATTTTGGGCATTTACTTTAAAGTTAACTGAAAAGCACACGACGCGCTGAGAATGTGCTAGCAAGAAGTGGTAGTAAAGAGCAAGTGAATGCAGATACAGGGACAGTTTCAGATCTAGATACAATTTAGATAGAGACAATTTGGCATTATACTTTTAGCCAATTGTATACAAAATTGTTTAGGTCATCGCGTCGTGTTTGGCTTTGTCTTTTCCTTCTATTTTTTCTTTCTGCGCCTTTCATCTTATTGCTTGTTTTGTTGGTTTTTTGTTTTTTTTTTTCTATATTTGAAACTGAAAACCTCATGCTCGGCAAATAATTTTTTGCTCGAAAACACACAAAAAACATTTAAAATATTTATGTATTTTGTGGGTTCTTCGATTCGGTCTGCATACAAACCAACTAAAACAAACGTGTATAGTTTCGTCTTCTTGAATATTTGCGTATTTTATGAAACAGCTAATGAAAGTAAAAGTTCAATATAAATTTTAATGGCCCCTGCAAAAATTTGTAAACACAATCGAATACTTTCTAAATATTTGCTATACTATACTAGATACTACAAATATATTGATGAATATGTACATAGCTATAGATACAAAGCGAGATGTGTTTTCAATACTCTTCTTCACTTTTAGCAAGCAATGAATTGATAAGTTGATTAAGTTAAACTGTTAGTCTGAAACTTGCTGATAGTATATAATTACAGATATGAGCGCTATATCGTAATTATCGACAAATGACCTGATAATATCGGTTGCTGCAATGGGCTGTTAAAAATTTGCTGAATGTCGGTTCCAGTTTTTAATTTCAATCGGTAAAATTGCCTTTCGAGTTCCAGTTTGACAATCTGATTTAAGACATAGTATTAATCAAATATAGACACTTTATCAATATACGTGCAACATACAGCAACTGTTTTAAAGTCCTCTAAGAACAGTTGTACTAAAGTTTATCTAGCTTAATTTGTTTAAGAGACGATTTTTGTAAATAATCATAGATGGGCAATGTTTGGAGATATGTGATTGAATTATGTCCATGAGAGATTTAATGTGTAGGTCTCTCGATATATGAATGAATGCCTCGATGTTAATATTATTTATGATGAAAAAAAATAGGTTTGAATGCTATAAGTTTTAAGCAAATCATTTTTGTATATTCAAAATTATTCACGCAAAACTCCTGCTAGATAGTTTTCTGATTTTGTCAATGATTCAAGTATTTTCTCTTCACTCATTTCACTCCCTCCCTCTCTTTCTATCCATCTCTCTCTCTCTCTCTCTCTCTCTTTGCCTCCCTGTCTCTTTATGTTCCTTTATCGTATGTGTAGTTGTAACACGCTGCGTATGCGTGATATTTGCTTACAATTTCGTGTGCTGCCAATTGTTGCAATTCCTTAAGAACATTTCATTTTGTGATTGCTTGCAAATATTTGCCGTTTATTAAATTTACATTAAACGAACCAAACACACCAATCATCCTCATTTTTGGCTACCCACCTTACACAGCCTTTGGGTAACGGCCAAAACGGATGTGCGTTTAAGATTTCGTTTGTTTGTATGGGTGTGTGGGTGTGTGGGGGTGTAGGGGTGTGGGTGGGTGTATACATTGAGGTTGTATTTTCTACAGAAAGTAACATCAAATTTGTATACACGAGTTGTTTTTGGTTATTCCCGTTTTTTAATTGTTTCAAACTCAGAATGTGCAAAATTGGCCAATACGATTTTTTATACAAACCTAAATGAAAAACGCTTCTCGAAATACTTGAATAAATTAACTGGGCTACAATTGAGAATGTTTAGTTATTCTTAAAAATCACAAATTCTTGAGTCAAGCATTGTTTAACTTAAACTCTGCCAACTTTTGATTCAGAATTGATTTAAGAACTTGGCTCCTTCAAATGAAAACTTAATACCTGACTTAAGCTCAAGCTCTTGTGAAATGCAACGGATTTCAACTGGAATTAATTAAACCCAACCAAAATATAGTTTTAATGTAGAATCAATTGTACCGAACGTATCTCAAGATAGTTTTAATCCTGAATCAAGTGTACCAAAAATAATTCGAAGATAGTTCTTTATACTCTTTCTTCTGTTCTTTTTCTCTGAATGAATATGTGAAACGTGCAACCAATAAATCGCTACGCAGCTGCAAAGAAAAACGTTTAGACTAAACACCCAATATATATGCATGTTTATAGATGTATCTCTGATCTATATGGCATGTTTCGACATGCTCACAATTCAAATACATATTAATAACAATTTGTTTTAATTAATCCCAACATTTGCGCGACCCACACACAAAATCACGAATATATATATAAATATGTGTATATGTTTATACATATATATAAATATATAGAATGTGACGTGAATTGTCACAAGAAATGCGAACGGCTCACGGCCAATTTATGCGGCGTCAATCAGAAACTCATCGTCGAGGCGCTCAACCACGTAAAGCGAGGTAAAATACACAAACGCAGAAAAGAGAGAGGAACCCTTTAAACAATATATGTATACGAAAACCACTCCCTCAAAAAACAAAATGGAGGCAGCGCAAAATAACCAAAACAGAAAATTAAAAGAAACGAAAAGAAACGAAAAGAAATGAAAAGAAAAAAAGCATCCATAAATAATGGCGCTTAAATATGGCTGACATTTTGATTTCATAATTGAGGCTGCCAGCCAATTGACTGTGTGTGTGTGTGTGTGTGCGTGTATTAGTCTGTGCGTAATATAGAAAGATTAGTGCAAACTATAAATTAGAATAAATAAGAAAATAATTGGAATGATTTTCTAAGTTTTTCTCCAGCAGAGCTGTTGAGCTTTATCAGGATAACTTGTTAATCAAGAAGTTTTTCAGTAGATTGTTCCAAAGGGAGCTATATGATATAGTGTCGGAAATCTGCTCGGCTAGTGATGCAGATCAAGAATGTATGTCTTCTATAAATTTCACGATATACGTTAAATACCATCTGAACTATAAAAATAGGTTGGATAATCTCGTTTATCATTTGTTTTAATAATAAGTCTGAGCAATTTGTATAGAACACAAATAATATTCTTACAATTTTGCAGAAAACGAAAACGATAAGTATTTAAATTCTTCATACAAATATGTATAAGTATTTGTTATATAGGTCTCAGTAACTATAGCAACTAGAGCTAACAGCCCATATATATTAATGGGCTTATTATTATTATTTGCTTCGGATTGGAATCCGAAGTAGAACCCAATAAAGTCGTGTATTTATGTATCTATATATATTAGCTTATCGAGATTTTCATTAAAAAAACTACAAAAACTATATTGTTCATAGATAGAAAACAGTGTTCCATATCTTTACAGAAATCTGTCGATTAATTTAACTTCTGAAAATATACCAAAGATGAGATAAATATAGATACGAAAGCCTAACAGCTTAGCTAAATACCTTCACTTTGATAAGGAGTAAAAGTCCCAGAACACACATACATACACACATAAATAATTGGTGGGCACGTCTGTGTATATTGTTGGGATGTTTGTTATAAAGCGTGAAGTTTAATCTACTCCCCAATTAAAACCAGGTGCCCAAGAGGCTAGAGACTCGCCTAGTACACCGCCCAGCTCGAATCCTGCCTACAAGATAGAGGCCAACGATGAACAAGATGGTATGGCACCTATATATAGCATATAACACACTCTTTCACATACACAGAGAGAAAATACTGATGGCAAATTAAGCAAACACATCTGTAATCAAAAAGAGAATTGAGTAGAAGACAATATCGATTCTTGATTTAAGATATTTGTGACTGTTTTGTTTTTCTCTGTGTATAAAATGTAAGCTAAATACTCAAATGACCAACAACAACCGAACTTTGGACTATCGACGACAAATCTCTTCTATTATTATTTATATTACTATTCTTATGCTATTCACTAACTGAACCTAATCTTTACTTCTCTCAATATGCACAATTCCACTTTCCTTGCGCACCATCTTTGTGTATCTTTGGCTACTTTTGGAACATACACAGAAACTTCATATACATATTCACAATTCCAAAAATCCGGACGTTTCACTGCGCCAGCAACAGTAATACCTAGATTTAAGAACTATTCGGTAGATGATTTTCATTTTCTGGCCGTACTTGGAAAGGGCAGCTTTGGCAAGGTAAGCAAACCTCATCAAACTTAACCATATTTGTAGTTATGTGTGTATGTATGTATCTATGTAGGTGCTGCTGGCTGAGCTGCGGGATACGACATACTACTATGCGATCAAGTGCCTGAAAAAGGATGTGGTGCTCGAGGACGATGATGTTGACTCCACGTTAATTGAGCGCAAAGTTTTGGCATTGGGCACCAAGCATCCATATCTATGTCATCTATTTTGTACATTTCAAACCGAGGTGAGTTATTCATCCAAAAAAGACAAGGTCGACACACACACAGAGAGAGAGAAAGAGAGAGAGAGAGAGAGAGAGACAGAAAGAGAGCGCATATAGGTAATACGCGCAACGCATCCGAAAGATACAAAAATAAATAGCCTAAAGGTAAAACAACCTATTATTAGAGCACTATTTATTGTGGCTCTCAGTGCGTGCTGTGTGTGTGTGTGTGTGTGTGTGTGTGTGCCTCTATTCTATATTCTGACCATCGATTGGGGCACACGACATGATGTGGCAAGTACTCGACAGATCGCCACCGCTCGAGAACAACGGTAATTTGGCACGCAAGTCCGGCAAACAGCGCGTTCGACAAATGTTCTCTAAACAAAAAAACAAAAAAAAACCAACAAAAAACCGAAAACAAATTGCAAAAAAAAAATTTAGTTTTCGTTGCTTGCATTGACACCGATTAGAAGGTATTTTAATTATTTATGACTTTGAGGAGGATACACGCCCATTTCTTTTGGGGGACTCTCGCGCTCTCTTGCTCTCGCTGTCTCTCTTTCTCTCTCTCTCTCTCTCTCTGTCTCGCTCTCAAGTTGTTATGATGCGCTCACCTTAGCTACACTCAGCGAAAATAGCATTTTGTATTGAATAAGTTGAATTATAGATATTTCGGTTAAATAATCACAATGAGCCAAATCCAAAATGTGAAAATTAATTTAGCTTTGACTAAATTATGAGTGTAAGTTATTTAGAAAGTTGAGGAGTGTCAACAGCGTGTGAAACCGGAACGAATGTTAGTTCCGGTTCCGGTTCTGGCACGTATGGTTCATTTCGACAATCGATTCATTAACAGTAACAACATATGTGGGGTGTCGGTACCGGTTACGGGTTCTAATGCCAATTTGTTGTTGACCTTTTGCAGAGTCACTTGTTCTTTGTGATGGAGTATCTAAATGGCGGAGATCTCATGTTCCATATACAAGAAAGTGGACGTTTCTCGGAGGAGCGTGCCCGTTTCTATGGTGCGGAGATCATATCGGGTCTCAAGTTTCTACACAAAAAGGGCATTATATACAGGTGAGTGTGTGCGAAGGGGCCACAAAGTGTGTGAGAGAATCAAATTTACTAATTGGAATACTTGCGAAGGGATCTCAAATTGGACAATGTATTGCTGGACTATGAGGGCCATGTGCGTATTGCCGATTTTGGTATGTGCAAATTGCAAATATATTTGGATAAGACGGCCGATAGTTTTTGCGGCACACCCGATTACATGGCGCCCGAAATCATCAAGGTAATCCTCAAACGATATAAAGATCACCTCTTGTTCTAATTGAGTTAATGACAATAATGTGGCAATTTGTGTTGGGCAGGGTGAAAAGTACAATCAGAATGTCGATTGGTGGTCATTTGGTGTGCTGCTCTACGAAATGCTCATCGGTCAATCCCCATTCAGCGGCTGCGATGAGGACGAGCTCTTCTGGTCCATATGCAATGAAATTCCATGGTTCCCTGTCTACATATCAGCCGAGGCAACCGGCATCCTCAGAGGCGTAAGTCTCCCAAATTCATATTATGCAATTAATGCTTGATCTTTGACTTACCTCTAGTTTTAGATCTCTTACTGTTTAATATTGGAATATTAAATTATATAACTAATGTATGACTAATTTTGCTTATTTTATATTAGCTCCTGGAAAAGGATTATACGAAACGTATTGGATCCCAATACAGTCCAGCTGGTGATATAGCAGATCATTTATTCTTCAGGCCCATCGAGTGGAATCTGCTGGAGAAACGGCAAATTGAGCCGCCATTTAAGCCACAAGTGGTAAGATTAATAAAAGATCATAAATATATATATATATATATACATAAATCTACACATTGCGACCATATGCTCAACTGACTGATGAATCTATCCATAGAAACATCCGCTGGATACGCAATATTTCGATCGAGTCTTCACCAGGGAAAGGGTTCGTTTGACCCCCATCGATAAGGAAATACTCGCATCTATGGACCAGAAACAGTTTCATGGCTTTACCTATACAAATCCGCACATCACCCTGGACTAGATTCACATATACTTATATATATATATATATCAAGTACATTGATGTGCTCCTTAGGCAATGTGCTGGACATATACCATATATAATTAGCATATTTCTATACATATTATATTACAATATACACATAATTGTAACCCATGCCCCAATTACTTATTAGAGCAACAGTATTTGTATATGTATGTATATCTATATAGATATATATATACCTATTATATATTTTGTCTAAGTGTATTAAAATGTTTATCGCTCAATATGCATCTAAATACTTGATAAAATACCTAGGTTTACGTAAATGTATCAATGTGCATATTTCTCGCCGAATAGAAAACAGAGCTAAATCTGATTTCGTGTCGTTTAATCGTAATGTAATGCAGGAATCACAACTACAGGAGTGGTTTTTAGAATCAATTTTCATCTTTTTAAATTACATGCTTATAATGCTAATCAGTTAGTGATAAACAAATCATACGTCTAAGTACATATCTGTATATACTATATATTACATACTTCTTACAATAATCGATATATATATAAATATATTTATATATATATATAAATATATATATATTTTTTTTTTGCAATTTAGTCTTAAAAGCTCCATGCCAAAGTCTACGTAAGTACTCAATTGTACTACTTATATGAATAATGCCAAAAATAAAAGTATACAAAAATATTAAAATGAAATGAGAACTTCGGATTTTGCGCTATTTAAATTATTCCTTTACAAGATATATGTCCTTAAAACTAAGAATTCAATTTCAATCATGGTAATTTATCAACGAAATAAAAAAAAGAAAAACTATTAAAAGAGAAGAGAGGGAGAAAGAGAGAAGCTCAATGCCAACGTCTCGTGTATGAAGACAATCAAATCAAATACAAATTCAAAATATAACTGATTGAAATTGAATAATGAAAAAATCCCATCAACAAAAAACAAGTAAAGCAACGGTAACATACTTAACTGCATATTGTTTGTCTATCGCCAACTGCCATATAAAGACAAAGACAAAAACAACAACAACAACAACAACAATACAATGCTTGCTTATGTCTGTTGTTGTCGAATTTGTCAAGTTTCGATGTGTCTCTTACATTCGCATTACAGCGAATAGACATAGTAAAGGACACGGCAAGTGCTGAGAACAGCCTAAGAGAGAGCGAGAGCGATGCACGGCCTTAAAGTCAGTCAGAGCTTAACATTGCGCATCTTTATCTTATAAGTTAAACAATAAAAATTGAGATGCGTAATAATATTACTCAAAACTTAATGAACCTGATGTGAGCGGCAGAGTATGCAATGATAGAAGCATCGTCTAGCTGCTGATATTATTGTTATTAATCTGCACAAATGCATAATCAATTGCATGTATTTGTTGTTGCGATGCTCTCCAACTGCGCACTCTCCAACTGCATGCCAAAATGAGCACTCTCCAATTACTCAAACTCTTGCAGTGGACACTCTCCAAATGCGCTACGCGTTTAAATAAAATTTAAAATATTTTGTTTTTTCTCATATTTCTTTGGGCTGCGTTTTTGATTGATGATGATTGCTGCTGCACCGAAAGTAAGGCAAGGGAAACAACTAATAAAGATGAATGCATTATTTCGTATTTTCCCTCGATTACATTTGTTCACACTCACATAAAACCATCTAAGCTTTGGTTAAATTACTTTACGCGTTTCAAATCGGTATCTTGAAATTATTGAGTGTTCGTTCCCATAGAGCATGCACATATCATTAATAGTTTACTATTTTGAACTCCGATTTCCCTCTGCTAGGGAATTGGCTCATGATTTTCAAAAATACGTTACTTTTTTGATAAAATCTCAAAAACTGATAAAGTAAACAAATAAAAGTAAATAAAAAAAAACATCAAATAACTGGCTTCAATGCGAAAATAAGATCCTCTCTTATATACCCTCTATAAATAATTGTTGTAGTCTAAGTCCAATCTCGATTTTTAGCATAGAAACTAGTTTTTATACACCATTCTTATGACCAATAAATAACCACAAATGTACCTATGAAGTCGAGCATGTTTTTCACTTGTTTTTAGTATAATGTATTTGTTGTGTGTGTGTGTGTGTGTGTGTGTGCTGGTGTGCGTAACAAATATGTGTGTTGAATATAGATTTAAATTAAAGATGTGCCAGCACGCATCGGATTTCACTTGTAGATCCAATCTTGACGACCGCCAAAGATGCGTCTGTTCTCATTGAGATACTGATGCAGCGGCAGCGGTCGCGGCGAAGACGAAGCTATCGCCAGTGGTGAGCTAGTGGTGGGTCGCCACTTTGATGGACGCCAGGATGCGGATCTGTCCAGGTTGTTCTGATTGTGATGGTGGACGCGCATATTGAGCAGCAGTTCGCCATCGTCATCGATCAGATTGTACATTTGCATGCTCGGATCCGCATTCGAATTCGAATGGGCACGCTCCAGGCGCACCTGACCTTTCGTGCCCTTGAGCCGGGGCTGAGTCTTGGTCCTCCAGCGCAACGGCCTCGCATGTGCTGGAAATACCCGTGAGCTGCGCTCCTGTGCCTCCAGCTGACGCAGAATGCCCAGCGGCAGCACCAAATCCGATTCAAACGGTAAAAAGCCGGTCGCCCGCACTTTGATTAAGTTGTGCCGCAGAGACACCGCACAATTCAAGCTGCAGCAGATGAGCAGCAGCAGCAACAGCAGTGTTGCTAAATACAGTTTCATGGCTTACAATTTGAGTTCGCACATGTTCTCAACACTCAACGGGTTTTTCTTTCTTTCTTTTTCGCACACTTATATTTTGTATATCGTCATCAAATGGAAATATTCCGTTATAAATCCTTTGCTTCCTCCAATAACAATTTTGATTGGCACCGTAAAAAAAAAATAATATGAAAAATAATTATGAATTTAGTATTTTTTTTTGTTCTTTAGAGGAGCTTATGGAGCTAAGCAGCTCATTGTAGGCCGGTATTGCACCAACTGACTTTGGCCAAGCGACGCACTGCGCCACAGACCTCAAAGTCACACACACATACATGCACACACGCACTCACACACACACACACAGAAACCAACAAATGAATTAATTAGAGAAAATTCCGACGCGCGCTTTTCGAAAATGGACAAAGTGGACAGCGGCCTCAGTTGGCACAGTGGGTCAGAGTGCTTAAGTGGTATGGTTAAAATGACAAGCTTTATTAGCTACCGGTTAATTACAGTGTATACATAAAGAGCTTGTGTTACCGCATCGAATTACGGTTACGGTTCTGGTTCTGGCTTCGAGTTTTAAGCGGTTAACGATTCCAGTTCCGGTTTGATTCGTTGTCAAGAGATATAATTGAAAAATATATTGAAATAAACTGGCAAAAAAAATGTATAAATTTGACAACAACTTTGTACACCTTACGGAACAGAACCGGAACCCGTAAACGGAAACGGAACCAGCTCCTAGATTTACTTCATTTTGACACTAGCAAATAGAGATACTTTTTTTGCGTCTCTTAATTTGCAAAGAATTGCACCACTGTGCATTAAATGCCTTGAGCTTTAAAATGAAAATAAAACATAACCGACGAGCTGATTGTTGTTGATGTTGACTGTTGTTGCTATTGTTGTTGCTAGTAAGGTTGTTAGTTAGTTGTCAGTTGTTTGGTTGTCGGCAACATTTCATTTCAGTTCTTCTATCACTTTTATGGCCTACACACAAATTTATTAAAATGTGTGTGTGTGTGTGTGTGTGTTGGTATGTGTGTCTGTGCGTGTTAACTTAATAAATGATTTATGCTACATTTTACAAGAATAATTCTTGTTAATGTTCGCGTGGCGCTGCTTTTGTTTTTGCTTTTGCTTTCAAAACTGGTCCGCAGTTGACTGAGTTGGGGTCATTATTCCGGTCATAATAATAATGCTTGGCTACCGTACACAACACTCCCGATCCGGCTGACGATGTACACTCAAAAAAATAAATATACAATGTTTTAAGTAGTAAATTGCCTTCCTTGTCATGAACACTTTTTCCAAAATATATCACGAGATAATATTAATATTTTAAGCGACTGCCATTTCTTCGAATATATTATTGGTGTGAAATAGATTTCATTTTTTTTTTAATGGTTGACAGTTGTAGGCCAGTTCTAGTATTTTCGGGGAGCCACTTTAGATTTGTTCAACATGAAAGTACATTTTGGTTAACAAAATCTGCATTTTAATCGAATCTTAATGGAATGTACAATCAGTGCTTATAATATATCAATGGCAACGATTGATCCTCACAATTGTGTCTATTATCGACATTCGAAGGTTACCAAAAAAATGAAATAAACTTGATCTGACTGTGGTATACGAGAACTTCTATTCCAAATTTGAAGTCTCTCGCTCTAAAAGTATCTGAGATCGGCTTGTTCATACAGGCAGACAGACTAGGGATATATATATTAATTGAATGTTCTGCAAAGCTATGCATATATTCAATTCAACTAACTGTTTAGAAAAATGCATGAAATATTTATTTTGAGCATGCTTCAATATCTATTATTAATTTCTTTTTCTCCGAGTGTAGCTGGGGTTGAACCTGCTGAGTGCTAGTGGAGTGGGTCACTCTCGCTTCTGATTGTTTTGTTAGTGTGTCACATATAGTCAACTCCATGGGCCTCATTTGCATGAAAATGACTGAATGAAATGTTGAATGCCAAATGCTGAATGCTGAATGTTGAATGTTGTATGTTGTATGTTGTATGTTGTTCCACATAACAAGAGGTTATGCAAATCGCCAATTGTGAAATGGAAAAGCGACTACTGATCGCTGATCACTGAACAGTAAAGACAAAAACTGGATACTGGACAACACAATAGTTGACATTTTCACTTGGGACTTGGTCCACTTTACGTCGAAATGCCAACTGGCACTTGACGGTTTTAACGGCCCATTTCTGACCATATTCATATTTATAAGTTTATCGTATCGTGGCAGCCATCCACACCTAATTGGTTAATCATATGTATGTGAACAGATAGACATTAATGACTCAATGATACAAACCATGAAATCAAAGCCGGTTTTCGATGAGCGCGCAAAAGAAATTGCAATATGAAAGCCATATGATATAGTAATCCGATCCGATTTTGACCAGTTCTTGTTCAAATATTGGCAGCGGTAACAAGACGCAAACAGGATGAGTTTGATTAGCATCAGATAAAAAGAAGCACTTAACCCTTTTATCGATTTGAAATTTACGATTCTATCGACGTCGTACCATTTTAGGGCTAGTCTATTTGTGTGAAATCAATACAACTTTCTTCTTCCCATTTTGCCATAAACAATTCCAAAGACTATAAATCGATATTTGTTATTAGCTAAACTCTCTGATTAATCAAAGAATGCTTTTCATATTTCATAAATGTATTTCATATGTTATTTTCAACACAAAAAAAATGTTTATCTTAGCGAGCTAATGGATGCAAGAAAAAAATAATAAAAAAAAAAGAAGGACAGGTTGTGTGTGGAGGAGGAGGGGGGGATTACTATAACTATTTAACAACGGAGGTCACAATTATGACACAGTTCGAATCACAGAACAACTGGAGCACAGTTGTGGGGGATTACTAGACAGTCTAGACAGTCTAAACAGTCTAGACAGTCACCGGGGGCAGGTAACTGTGATGGGGAGCCGACACCACTGGTGGCAAGTAGTCATTGTGAACGGCAATGGGCGCTTGGGCGATCTCCTCGTGAATAACGTTGATGGTGTTCACCTGCTCGTGGTGAGCATGACCCACAGCGTGTCCACCTGTATAGCCACCGCCGCCCAAAGCATAACCACCATCCTGGTGGATCACCTTGACGATCTGGTGTTCCTGGTGTCCGCCTCCATGTACGAATCCACCACCACCACCCGAATAGCCGCCATCCTCATGGATAACCTTCACAATCTTGACATCCTGTTGACCACCATGCGAGTGGCCTTGATGATGATGCACTACTGGCGCCTCCTCATGAATGACCTTAATGGTCTTGACCTCGTGATGAGCGCCGCCGCCAAATGACTGATGACCGATTGCGGGGGCTTCTTCGTGGATGACCTTGACGATCTTCACCTCCTCTTGATGATGATGACCGCCATGATCTTGATAAACAGGCGCTGCTTCCTGGTGAATGACCTTTACGATCTTCACATCATGACCGCCATGTCCACCATGTCCGCCATGACCGCCATATCCACCTTGTCCGCCATATCCGCCATGTCCGCCATGTCCGCCATGTCCATAGCCACCACCACCGCCGCCGCCCTCGTGAATCACTTGAACTGTGCGCACCTCAGCGTGTCCGCCACCACCGCCGCCGCCGCCGCCGCCAATGCCATAATTGTAACCGCCTCCACCGCCGCCGCCACCGCCACCGCCACCGCCAATGAAGCCAGCGGAGCTGGTGGCAACAAGTGCGGCAAACAAACACACGAAGATCTGCAACAGCAACGTTTGAAGTTGATTAAATGGGAGTCCAGTGAAATGTTATCCTCTTGGACGCTTACCTTCATAGCTGGAAGTTTCTTGCTTGGGATACGAAATCGGTGGAACTTCACCTAGCTGAAGAATGCAACTGATGATTAGCACCACAAAGCTGCTCGCTTTTATACCAACCAAAAAGCCGATGCGATGCGATGCGATCCGATGCGATGCTTCTGCTCCAACTAAGTTAAGTGATGAGTTGCCCTGTTTTGTCTCATCTTGTCTTGTCTTATCTTGTCTCGTCTCGTCTTGTCTAGTCTTGCCCAATGCGTCGCCATTCGCCCTAAGCGTGATTTTTGTTGTTTTTTATTTTTTCAGTTTTATTTTGGTTTTTGTTTTCGTCATCGATGCGCGGGCCCCCAAATTGAATTTGTTATGGGACCGGCTGTAAATTGCTAAAATATTCAAATGATACGCTAAACAAACCCGTTGAGAGCAACGGCAGTATTTCCAAAAATATATATGTATATATGTGCACACGTTCAGAAAAGAAATCGGAAACGGGGTTTCCAATTACTGAGATATACATTTCGAACAAATCAAAAGGAGAAGCTTGGTTTTAGAAAGACCGATCGAAATATACTTGCTGAATATTAAAGTAAGTTATTCTTGGCGAATTTGAAAATTTCAACGGTTTTCTTTTTTTTCTGAGTGTAGATATATCAATCAACAAATGGGCATGGGCGTAGTCAGAGTGGGTTCTTTAATTTGCGTTGTGTTTTTCATGCAACCTTTTGTGATTGAAAAAAGGGTGCAAAGGTTTCATGAACTTATGAAAAGGTACGTAGCAAGTAGCAAGTATATATAATGTGTATATATTCTTGATCATATGGTAGTACGATCCCTTCTCGCTCAGTTTTTCCCACGCCACTGAGCAAAGGCGTAGACAAACCGGTGCGATTAGCGAAGGTAGGTCGTGTCATTACTGCGACCTCGACAGCATTTTACTCCAAAATCCATCACTTTCTAATGATCCCCACTAAATCTGTATAGAGATAAAACACACATGTGTTAAAAGCATTGATAAACTTTTAAGCATAAACTGCATTGCGTAAATTTGGACTCACTTAAAGCTTCTGTTTGATGCTTCTTTCTAGATAAAAGTCATCAGATTGGTTTTGATGAAGTTTCACTGCAGCCAACTTTGTTAGTTTTTGGCAGCGGTTTATTGGTTTTTTTTTTGATGTTTCATTTTTTATTGCTATTGGCTTATTTTATTATTGACTTTGAGATCAAATTATTTACTTCTTCTGCGCTCAAATGGAAATCATGTCAAATGTGAATTGGTCAATGCGGGTTTCGGTGTATAAAATTTTGTTGCGAATTTTTAATAGTCATTATAAAACGAAATTATGTATGCTTTTTGCCCTTGTTTTGAGACTTAGAGAGAAAAGTTTAGTAAGACGTAACACAAATCAAATTGGGGTTTTTGAAACAGCGAGATCAATTAGCAAAACTGTTACACAAAAAATTCCGCTGTTTGGACATATGATGTGGATCAGCTATTGAGTTATAAATAAATGGCCAATAATGCCAAGCTACAAATGAGCTAAAGCTAGCAGCTAAAACTATATACTAAGAGCTTTTTTCGTTTAATTCATCAACGTCAACTTGGTTTTTTTGACATTTTCATTTATGAGACATGAAATGTGAGTCTTTTTTTTTCGATAACTTTATTTATTAATTAGTTATGCATTTTGTTGAAAAATTGGCATACAAGCTTTTCGGATGAGCATTTAATTATTATTTATTATTTAGTTATGCTGTTCTTAGAAAGTTGCTTAGAATCTTACGTTTTTTACCTTCAAATTGGTGTCTCCTATGAAAATTATATATATATTATTATATGCTCAAATACTCGTTATCTGTACTCAGGTTAGTCAAATCGTTGTTTATGCACTAATAGGTATAAAATTAATTTAAAGTTCATTTTTTATTGTCATCCAAAATGCTGAAAAGCAAATATGCTAATTTTGCAAAGCTGTATCAATTATATATATATATATATATATAATATTTTACATGTATTATATTATTTCTATCCAACCACTCCCAATTTAGCAGAGCTTTCTGCCAATTAGCCAGATGTCAAAAGAAGTCCTTCAATTAGAACAGAATTACTCTTGTATGTATAGATGCACGTGTGTCAAATTTGATATATGTATATGCATACAGTTGCGGACAAAATAATAGTACTGCTGCTCGCTAAAATGTACATATATCATGTAAATGTATACATCATTAGCTTAAAGCATTCCAGATAAGAAGTGATCATATTAATTCAGGATGTCTAAACCAGCTTAGCAGTCCATATTTAAAGTAGGAATTTTTTGTAAAAGCCAATTACCGGAACCCATAACCCATATTATAATCACCATATCGGAACATTCTTATGATCGAAACCGTTTCTAGGGTATGTGATTGTGTGTGTTGTAGAGCTGGTATACGATAACTTATGCTCCCAATTTGTCTCTCGCTGCGATCCGTTCGTTGATACAGACAAACAGTCAGATGGACATGGCTAGATTGACTTGGCCCTTAATCTTAATCTATAATATTGAGCAACATTTTAATTTTCCATTAGATAAACGCATTTTTTGGATCAACAAACCAAAAATTGCTATATATCCTGGCCAAGGAAATCGACAGGAAATCTATGACTAAATACACACGCGAAAAATAAGCAATCAACATGATTTGGCCACGTTTCGAACTTTCACTTTGTTTCAAGAGTTGCACTGAAATAGAATGAGACAGAATGCTAGCAAGAGACAAAGATAGCGATATGTTTTTGTTGTGTTTCATGTTTATCATCATCATCATCATCAGTATCTTCATTATTATTATCATCGTATCAAATTGTTTTTTCCGAACGCCTTTTTTTAATTACATACATTTCTAAGAATATTTTAATTGATGTGTTAACAAAATGGAAAATTAATAATAAAAAAAAAGAGTAAAAAAAAAGGAATACCTTGTATCAGTTGATATAAATATATATATATGTATATCTATATATATATGTATATCCAGCGCATTAGATATTAAAATTAAACAAATGTAATAATAATATATTAACAACATTATAGTTATGCGATATTAAATTTAGTGATAGTTGATAAAGAATAAAAAAAATATAGATATACACATATATATAAATATATAAATATATTTATGTATATATGTATAGCAATTTTACTCTTTTCTTTTATAAGTAGTTTATGTGTATAGGATGTAAAAATATAATCATCGCTCTCATACGTTAATAAATATTAATGCTGATGACAAAATTGTAATTTCGTATTGAAGAAAATGCTCGCGCATTTGTTAATGTAGTGTATGTGTTTTTGTGTGTGTGTTTGTGTGTGTGTGTGTTTTTAAGCTTAGCTATAGTAAGTAAAGTAGGTTGTTGGTTTTACGCGCAATTGCGCAGCTGTTGCGTAGGCAGCTCCAGGTCAGGCTCCAGCTGCAGCTCCCGGGACCGGGACCGGGACCGAGACCGCCTACTGGCCGGCAATCACGCGATCGCACAGCTGTTGCGACTGTTGCTCGTTGGCGTCTTGCAGCGATTCCGGCTCTTTGAGTTTTGCGTTAGCGAATTGTAGCATTGTGTCGTTGTCATCGCATACGATTTGAGTGTCGATTTAACGGAAGGCGGCAGGTGCAACGAATCAATAGCATAAACGCTCGTGCGACGCACAATCGTTCGACAGCAGAGCTCCTGCAGCGACAGCACTGTAAATATACACACACACACATACATATATATATATATACTGATTGTTCATATATAGAGGCTGCATTATGTTACCCTTGTTACTGCGCCAAATGTGCTCCATGCCATTGCGATGTAGCGCCATGCGAGCCAGTTCACAAAACGATTCACGTATGTTGAAATCGCAGAGTGGCGATATCTCAAAGCAGGACATATTGTTGCGAGACGCATACGTCTCCGCCTGTTTGGCGGCCACCTGACGCTTGTACGCCAAATGGAGACGATTGCCGACGAGCACTTTGGGTATGCCAGGTGCATGCTGCAAACATTGCAAACAATTGGATTACTGATTCAGATTAGATGTATATCGAATTTGTTGGACCTCTCACCTCTTCAACTTCTTTGAGCCAGCGATCGATGCCGTCGAAGCTCCATTTGTTTGTTATATCGTAGACTAATATAATACCCTGAGCACCCCGAGAATAGGAGCGTATTATGGTGCAGAAGCGTCCCTGGCCGGATGTATCCCAGATCTGTAGTTTGACACGCTTTCCCTCCAGCAATATGGTTGTCGTCTTGTATGCAACCGTTTGCAATATGTGCGAAGTGCAATCTATGCGCACAGCAATTAAATAATACGATTAATTATGGATCATAATATGTGTGTTTTTGTAACTTACCATTGCCGCTGCAGAAGGGATTCTCTGTGGACGGATCCTCCAGATTGGAGAGTATTTCGTGTTTACCCACATCGCTATCCCCAACAAGAAGCACCTTTAGCAGATAGTCGTAGTCTTTTGTCATGGTTCTCATGTAGCTAACTTGTGAGCTGTCTTCGCTCTGAACCTGCAATAATAACCATAATAATATTAATAATAATAGATAAAAGATACATACAGAGAACGAGAACGTTGTGATCAAGCATAATTTATTTGAAATAAATCAGATTGAAAGCGACTCAATTCTGAAGTAGGTGTTGGTCCCGGAACTGTTTAGAAATATGTATTTTTCAAACCGAATTAATATAGATAACATTGAAAAGAACTCGGATGAAATACATTCATTTATGAGAAACACAATTTACATAAACTGAAGAAAGTGAATAATAAAAAAAAAGTTAACTATTAAGCTATATATAAATTCATAAATATATAAAAAAAAAACTCAATAATATACAAATGAAATACATTTTTTATAATTAAGAAATCATACTACACTTACAAAGTAATTTCAAATTTTCAAATTGATGAATACAGTGATTTTTTAAAATAAAATTTTTAATTTTTCGTGTGATTGGATATCTATCTTTATCTATATTTGTCAATATGTCAAACTATTGAAAATGTGAAATAAACTTTAGCCTCAGCTTTGATCTTCAGAAAATAAAACGGCATATTTAATATCGATATTTTCTGAGATCTAAATGATCGAAATGTTCAGAATATGTAATCTTCTAGATACATAATTGAAAGAAGGCATTGTAAATCGATATTTACCGATTGCTTCAACGGTCAGAGACATAGAATATCGAAAATTAAAATAAGCTCAACTTGTTGTGCTTGTATAGTCTATACTTTTCACTTTGACCACAATTTATAATAACTACAGTGCATATATACACACAAACACACAGCATAAAATAAAAAATAAAAAGACAACAAACTGCCAAAGTCGAACCGGCAATTGTTGTTAATATGTGGGCAGGTTAACATTTATCTAGTGAGTCACTCAACACACACACAAACACATGCATAAACATATGGATGCATACATAAATATTGTGCATATATGCAAATGGGCGTAAATATGCCAAACTAAGAGAAAAAGAAAAAAATGGATGACACGAAACAAAACACAAACATTTGATTAAAACAGGCAATAACTACAAAATTTGGACACTTCGCCGGTTTGTGACGACACTCTCTACATACATATATATATTTTGCATTTAGAATGTTGTTTTTTTTTAATAACCGTTGCAAACACTTTGAGACCTGTACACACATACAGATGCACACATATACATATATGCCTTGGCCAGTCATTTGGGTGTGTTTTGTTTTGCACCGCAAACGAGGCGACAACAACGAAAACAACACCAACACACACACAAACACATCGACTCGAGCAGGCACACACACACACTAATACGCACACACTCACACACACATGAAAACAATGAGCAAATTATACAAATAGTAAACGCTGACACTCACACACAGCAATGTTAACTTGTTTTATTGATCGGCCGCAGCAACTATTTACTGTTAATGCGCAATAGTGGCATTTTATCACTATTTGCTTTGCCAATATTGGGCAAACGAAATTGCAGCACAAGCGACCGAAATCTATTTTACCCAAATACGCATATGCACATGCGAACAGGGTTGCAACCGCAATTACCTATCGCCCACTTGCTGCCTATCGATGGAATTTCGCAATCTATCGATGTTTATTTACATTGTGACCAAACAGCGCAAAACAACACTAAGCAAATAGAGAAGCAAGAAAGAAAACAATAACAATAACGATGGTTAACTACACCCAACTGCAGGATCAAATTGAGAACAGAAGCACTGAGGACATTCGCCAAAGGCATGACCTTGTGATCCGTTATATCCTGCTATTCGCATTCATTGTATTTATTTGCGTCACCTTGATACCCCTTTGCTTACTCATTGCCAATCCAAATGGGGTGCAACAACAGCAACAAGAGGCAGACAAACAACGCTTTGTTTGCTATTATGATGCATCCAGTCTCGAGAAGCTGCGTCTGCTGGATGTGCCCGGCACTTTGTGCACCCACATTAACATTGGCATTGTGGATTTGCTAAATGGAACGCTCCAATTGTCGCCGCGCCTGAAGCAGGTGCTCCAGAATGAGACCCGTCTATTTCGCAGTGCGCATCCGCAGGTGAAGCTGCTGCTGTGGATTGGTGGCTCCGATAGTGGCCATCAGTTTGCCGAAACTGTGATGAATCATACACATCGCAAGATATTCTTACGCTCCCTAAAATCAGTTATGCATCAATATCCGCAATTGGATGGCATCGATCTGGATTGGGAATTTCCGCGTGCCTACGACAATGAGCGGATGCATTTCGCCCAGCTGCTCCACGAGATACGGCTCGAATGGCGTCGCGAGAAACGCACAGACAATCTGCTCAGCCTGGCCGTTGCGGCGCCCGAGGGAATCGCATTCTTTGCCTATAACATACGCGAGATCAATCTGTATGTGGACTATGTGAATCTGATGACATATGATTTTCATTTCTATCGCGAGGATACACCATTTACGGGCTTGAATGCTCCGCTGTATGCCCGCCCCAGCGAGCGCTCCATCATGGGCACTTTCAACATCAACTATACTGCTCACTGGTGGCTCAGCAATGGACTGGAGCCGCATCGTTTGGTCATCGGCTTGCCCACATACGGCCATTCCTTTACGTAAGCATTTGAGGTACAGCTAAGAAAGCGGCTAGTTTTAGCTGATCGATTCAAATTCTTGATAGGCTTGTGAATCCGTTTAATGTGCGGATTGGAGCACCTGCATCTGGATTTGGTAAATGCGGACAATTGGGCTTCACCACACTCTCGCAGACTTGTGAGTGTGCCAATAATTTCCTCGCCCCAATCTACACATACGACAAGGACACCTGCTCGCCGTATCTGAGTGAATTGCAGGAATGGATATCATATGAGAGCAAGACGAGCATTTCGTGCAAGGCCAACTATGTGAAATCTCTGAATGTGGGTGGCCTCATGATCTTCTCCCTTAACACGGACGATCTGAAGAATAGCTGCGGCTATATGCCCCGCACTCCCGCAACCCTGGGCAAGCCCGTCTTTCCTTTAGCCGAAGCGGCAAGCAGCATTCTCAGAAATCGCCAAGACCAAGACTAAAAAGATTAGCTGCCAAGCGATGGTAATCCAAAGGTATTCCTCAATTCCACAATTCCAAAAAGTAAAGTCAATGTTTATCAAATAACAATTTTAAGTGATTACGACTCCAATTTGTACAATTTAATCACATTATGGACTTATGCCAAAAATTCTATTTTCCAAAGAGTTTAACAGAAAAATACGAGTTTTAAATGCAAGGCATATAAATTCGAACTGACGAAAAGAAGTGAAGAAATAGTCGTATTACTACTTAATTGTGAGTTTTGCAAAAATTCTTTATTTAAAAACCAAAAAAAAAAAAACAAATTGGTTCGATTTACAATTCATAATTTTGTCATCTGACTGTTTTTTAAACATACATATATATAAACAGATATATATTAGTATATTTATATTTAGTATCGTCTATCACTTGTTATATTGTTTTATTGATAGATCAAATGGGCTGTTTACTATATACTATTTAAGATTTAGTCATAAATGAGTTGCTTTTCGTTTCACTCAACTACCTCTTTGTATCGAAAAAAGTGCATTGTTTTCTTTCTTTGTTTAATTTATATGCATAAGTATAAATAAAAATTATCACAATCGATCCATATTCATAATATAACTAGAAATTGTTTAACACGCAAATTATATTTACTTTTATATTATATGACGATTACACATAGATATATATGGTGCCTGGTAAAATAGACAAATGGTACTGGTGGAGGGGTGGATGGAACCATTGAGTAATGGTTCCTGACGACATTAGGAAGCATAATACATTGCAGTTAATTGGAATTGATTGGATTAAGTGGAGCAGGAAGAGACCGCATCTGGCTGTTAGGTGCGTCTCCAGCAGTCCAGGGACGACGAGAATCATGTGTGCTTCGGCGTCCGCTGCAGATTCGGAGGCGGTGCAGCGAGCAACTCGTCAATTTGAATTTTGTACGCCTGCTTGAGCTCGACAAGATCAAGCTCCAGCTCCTCGGTGCGCTCCACCTTTTCGCCATACATTTGCAGCAGTGCATCATAGCGATGCTGCAGATCCTCAAAGCTCTTCTCCATCGCCTCATATAATTGCACTTTCTCCTTCAACTGCAAGAATATGTTAGCGATTCGAAGGCGTTTTGGTGGATTGTAATGCTTTCGCCATCGCTTACCATCTCCATTTCCATTGTCAAATTGGATATCTGGCTATCGAGGACGCCGCGTTCCGCCTGCAGACGCGACAGTTCCCACTGTAGATGCGTCAGTTCGCCATCACGCTGCTTCAGCAGCGCCTGCAAATGCTCCAGCGTTGTCGTATTCCCGGCCATAAAACTCAAATGCACACCCTGTATGAGGCCCGTCGGTTGCCGACCGCTATTCGATGCACACTCCAAGTCATCCTGCAATGCGGCAGACACTATTAAATCGACTGCATCATCGACTACATGATACAACTTGGATTGCCAATAAAAATTAACAACATATCCAAAGTAAATCAAACAGTTCTTGAGTCCAATTGAAAAAAACTGAAATCATCTATGACTTCCGATATGTATCTACTCAGTTTGTGCTGTCTAAACTTATCAAGCGATTATATTGATAAGCGAACCAGTGTTTTTAGTCGAACATAAAACCCAAAACAAGTAAGTAGACAGACCACAATCATCCTGTTGACATTAGTCACTGTAATTAAAGTAAAATCATTCTGCTTGTTGTCTGTTTCTGTCTTGTCATGTTTTAAGCTCAAGTTCAAACTAAAATTCAGGTCAGTCCATCAGTCTCTAACTCTATGACAACTATATGATATAAAGTAGTCCGATGTCAATAATCGTTTGTGCAAATTTGAGTATCATTATAACACACATACTGAAGTAAGTTTGAGTAAGTAAGAAACTATGGCAGCTATATAACATTATAAATAAATATAAATATGATAGAATATATATTATATCTTAAGGTGTTGAAAAAATTGTAAAAAGACTTAATAAACTTCAATTCGGGCGCATTCCATTTTCAGCATTTGCATTAGCTTTTTTCAGATAGGATTGTAGATAACTGAGCCTTGCATGGAGGTTCAAGTATACTCAACTTCCTTTCCGCTGGATTGGTGTGACTTTGAAACATATTTTCTTTGAAAGTATTTTCAAATAGTTTTAGTGGTTGTTAAATCTTTCCCATAGTTACGTTGCAGATATACATATCATATATCATATATCGGATTTTCAATGAGATAAGATATTAAAAGAAGAGAATGGTATGCTTACGCCTTGCCAATCAATGATGCCACCGAGTGCATCCTCATTGGAGACACTATCATCGGCCAGGCTGAGCGGCGGCGAGATGTTCAACTGTTGTTTGGCTGGGCAACGGGAGCTGTCGGAGAGGTCGTTGCTGGCATTGACTGCCTCGACGGTGAGTTCGCTGCTGCTGCTTCTTCTCGTGCGCTGGAATGCGTGCAATTTGCGCAGCTCCGCCTCCAGCTGCTGGCACTGTTCTATCAATGGCTCCAGTTTGTCCTGGCGCTGCTGCAGCTGCTCCTGCAGCGAGACAACTTGGCTGCGAAAAACATTGCACAGATTTTATTACACATTTATTTACATATATATATATATATATATATATATATATATATATAAGTTGTACCTCTTGTAATCGTTATCCCTGAGACTGGCATCTAGTTCCTGCTGGTGCAACGTTATTTTGGCGCTCTCCACCTGCATCAAGGCATTGGCTAGCTTCTCCTCGAGCAGATCACAACGTGTGCGCAGCAGCTCCTGTTTCTCATGTTGCACGGATTCGAGCTGCTGCAGCGAACGCAGTTGGGCCTGTGAATCCTCCAGTTTCTGGAGCAGCTGTTGCTCTTCCTTGACCCAGCTGGCGTTGCGCTGATTGAGCGTCTTTTGCAACGCATCGATTTGACGGATCAGCGGCGTTGTGGACATACTCAGCTCCTGGGTGCTGCACTCCGCCCGCGATTCGGCTGCCTCAAGGCGTCTCAACAGATCGCGATTCTCCTCGCGCAACTGCTGCTCCCGCTTGACCATGTTGTGCGCGGTGAGGCGTAGCTTCTCGCGCATATCGTTTAGCTGCTGCACATACTCCTGATTCTCAGCAAGCATCTGATGCTGTTCGTGTCGCTGCCGCTGTTGCAGTTCAATTTTGATGCCATCGAAACTGGTTTGCAGGGCGGCCAGCTTCGATTGCAGATCCTCGATCCGACTGCGACTCTCGGCGTTCTCCTCGTCGACACGACGCTTCTCATTGGTCATCCGGCACACGGCTTCAATTTGGGTGCGCTCCATTTCCTCTTTGGCGGCGAGGGACTTCTTTAGGCGCTCCGATTCGCTGGAGAGCACCGAGATCTGTTCGCCGTTCTTCTTGAGGAGCGTATCCGACGTTTTCTCTTTGGCCCGTAATTTCTTGATGATGTTCGACTGTTGCAGTATCTCCTTGGAGAGTTTCTCGCCCTCCGACTGCAGGGCTTGGATCATCTCATTGCATTCAGTTAGCTCATCCTTGGGTATTTTATTGAGCAGCTCATCCTTGAGGCTATTGATTTGTATGCGCAATGCCTCCCGCTCCCTAATGCTGCCCTGAAACTTCTTCTCCAGCGCCGAAAGACGCTGCACTGCCTCATTTGCCTCGCTGCTATCGGCGCTATTCTTGGCCGCCTCTACTTGAGCGGACAACTGTTGATTCCGCTCCAGGAGCTCAGCATTTTGACGCTCCGATTGTAGGAGTCGCTGTTCGCGTGCCTCAATCACCTGATTCAGTTCACTGATGCGATTCACAAGCTTGTCCAGCTCCGCTTGCGAATCCTCGGAGAGCAGCGATATCTCCGACGGCTCACGATGATGACCCTTCGGCTTGAGGCCATGCTGGTGTTGATGTTGCTGTTGCTGCTGTTGTTGTTGTTGCTGCTGCTGCTGATTGCTCAGCTTCAGTTCCTTGAATTTTTGCGGACTGGTTCGGGTCGTGGTGCTATTCGTACTGGAATCACCATTCGGATTAGAAATGATCTCAATGTCCGAAGACGTCGAGGAGTAGCTCTGATCGGCCATTTCCGTTTTCTTGCCAGCACCCGATTTGTGGTGACTCTTGTGATGATGATGGTGGCTCAGCTGCATTTGAATATCTTCAAAGCTTTGCGTCGAATCCGAATCCGCTCCAGTCCCTCCCGCTCCTGTCACACTGGCAGCCGCCTGGGTCTCACTAAATACCAAAGCTTTCATCGTCTTTGTTGAATCTGCAACGAAACGGATTGAGAATGACAAATCACAATGGAGAAAAGGAGATCGCTTACCATTTAGGTGTAGGGAATGATCATCCTGCTCCATATTCAGCGCTTGCCCATCATCATCATCGTCATCATCATCGTCGCCATCGGCATTGTCCGAGGTTTCATTACTGGCTATGATGACAATGCTGTCGGGCAACGATGCTTCCGTATCCGGTGACATTTGCATTTCCATTTCACTAGCGGTCGTTGTTGGCGCTGTAATTAGCTCCAGGGAAGAGGAATCCGAGTTGCGCAAACAGCCACTTGGCGACGTGGGCGATGGCGAAGACAACAAATCAACCGAATCCGATGTAGCCGACTGGCGTTTCGCATAGAGATTTGATGGGGCGACTCCTGCGACTGCTCCTGCTCCCGAAACTGAAGCAGATACTGTGGAGGCATCACTAGCTCTGGGTGGAATTGTGACCATTTCGTTCGCATGCGGATTGTCGTAGAACGTGGCGCCCTCTATCGCTGACGTTGTCAATTCTGATGCATTCGTTGTTGTTGTTGCTTTTATTGCTGCTGCTGATGCTGCAGCTATGGCACCGGGCGTGGAGGCGGCATCGTCAGCAGTGCTGACAACGTTGTCCGTTGCCTTGTTGTCATCATCCTGTATATCGAGCGCCTCAATTAGTGCGGTTTTGGCCTTTTCAAACCAACTCATGCTGCCTCTGATCTCAGCTTAGTGGCACATTAATCGATATACATATGAGATTTGGGTAGCAAGTCCAATTTTACAAATGCAAACACATAATTACATATATCTAATGCTTCGCGTAGCTGGGCTGGCACCATCTATGCAGGTTGTTCCGATATTTCGATAGACTCTATCGATTATGTTATGGCTTGGAATTGGCAAATTGCTTTCTTGCTCAAACTTATGAAATCAAATGGAAACTGTTAATAAAAATGTAACAGAAAAGTTTACTATCGTTTAATATCAATAAGAAACTTCATTATCGATTTGATTCGATAGATAATTAGTATCGATTATGTATGTGTGTGTGTGTGTTCACTGATGTCAGCAATTGTGTGTGCGCTATGGCATTTTGCAACACCAGTCGATGCGATTAAGTTGTGTGGTGGTCGGCCAATAAATTGTGGTGGTCAAAAGCAAAGCAAAGAGTACACATAAAACGAAAACGGAGATGTTAAAAATAAAATAAAAGAAAACGGAAACAGTAATTTAAATTACAAGTGGTAATCAAGCGGATTAAGCAAAGTCACAGTACACAACTATTTGGGCATTCAACGGCAACAATAATAATAATAATCAACTACGCACCGACTAACCGACAAAAACCAACACCAACACTGACACCGACGACCGACGGTGCGATTAACGCCCTCTCCCCCTGCGCTCCGTAATTTTGGCACCCGCACTCACACACACGCACACACACACACGCGCACGCATACACACACGCTCCAAGAGCAACATACGCACAGTTCTCTCTCCCTATCGGTGTGTGTGTGCATACAAGCATCATCATCATCAACATCATCATCGCAATCATTATCGTCATCAGGCGCACAAACACTGTAACACTTATTATCTGTACACCGCATTTATCAACGCCGTTGCCGAATCATTCCTCCCCACCAACCAACCAATCATCCAATTCCCTTGCCCTCCCATCCAGCCTGATCCACAACATCATCAACTTTGTTTGCTATTGTTGTCTGCTGCTGCTGTCATTTGTTTTGTTTCCTTAAATGTGAACGCATCTACACACACACACACACAAACACACACACTCTCATACACACAAAGTACGAAGGAGCAAACAAAGAACACTTCAAAAGAGTGCAAGCAAGCAAGAAAGAGAGCGGGAGAGAGAGAGAGAAAAGAGCGCGTGTAAAAATTGACTCCTGCCGAGTGTGTGACAAAGAGATCGAAATAGAGCCAGCCTAAATATATATTGAACGATCAGCCGGTGGGGGGGGAGGAGGCAACGGGGCAGGAGCAAGGGCCGGGGCCAGGCGTTAAGCGTTAGAAAACTCCTCCTATGGGTCAAAAGGCAAGCACACCAGCGACCAGCGGCCAGCAGAGCCCACGCTCCCGAACATTCTCCAGTAGCTCAACGGGCGCAACGGCAACATCGGACACCTCGCCCCCCAACGTGGGTGGGCGTGGCAACGATGCTACCGGGCAGGGCTTCAATTTGCTGCGCCAATTGCCGGGACTGCAGGTCTATCATCATCATCACCATCAGCATCAGCCGAACAACTCAACTTCCATCGATCGACAACGTGCGCGCAGCTTAAGCTCCGTGCCAGACATACAACAACAACAACAGCAGCAGCAACAACAGCAACAACAACAGCAGCAGCAACAACAACCACATCCCGCCGTCTCCGTCTCTGTGTCAGCGAATTCAACAAATAGCAATAATAGTTATCAAGCGGCAGCCAACAATAATAGCTCATCCATTGCCGCACAAAACTATATGCAACAGCGTCGTGCTCTGGGTGACTCAATACGTGTAAGGACAAATCCCACCCCTCTCCCACTGCATACCTATGTATGTACACACATATATATATATATATATATATATTTATATATATAAATATGTTTTTGATTCCATGCCCATTCATTAACTTTTGCGCCCTTCCGCAGGACATGTCAATGACGGGCGCCAATATTGTTGAGAGCATCGCTTTGGCCGCATCCGCAACGTCAACGAATGGCATTGGACGTGTCTACACAGCGACATCGCTGCCATCGCATATTTGGTCCTTCAATGGTAGGCAACATACAACAAGAGATTGCCAGCAAATTGGAAGATTCAAAGTCGTCTGTAATTACAGCCAACCAACCAATGTAGATGGAAATTGTGTTTAGTTAACAAATTCTATTCTATTTGGTTTGCATAATTCAAACTCTAGATATCTATAGATCAAATTCGTTAAACTCAAACTGAAAACCTATAAACAACTAGTTCCAATTTCCATGCCATCAAATATCTAAATATTATATTCAGTAGAATATAAACATTAATTCAACTTCAACTCTGATTGCAGGCATCAAGTGTCCCGTGTGCAATAAGTTCGTCTTGCCCGACGATATTGAATGCCATTTAGTTATGTGCCTAACAAAACCACGACTCTCATATAACGGTGAGCAAGAGCTGGAGAATGATGCAATCGAAGCGTTTATAGTTTACCCTAATGCCAATTATTTACATTGTGTTGTGTGTTCACAGAGGATACATTATCCGATGCTAAAGGCGAGTGCGTCATATGCCTTGAAGATCTGAGTCCAGGTGATACAATTGCTCGGTTGCCATGTCTATGCATCTACCACAAGGGGTATACAAAATTTAATCTATCATCCTTCAGCTTTACAAATTTACTAAATCTTTAACCATTGCAGCTGCATTGATCGTTGGTTTGAGGTGAATCGCTCATGTCCCGAGCATCCAGGAGATTAGTAATAATCTAGGTAAGACATAAAGGAATAATATATATATAGATATATATCACAAACATGCACCAATATGTGTGTATATATATGCTCAGGTTCTCTTGTTAGATTCGTATGCATATAGTATCTGTCACTGAAGTACCTTGTTGTGTATGCGTTGGCATTTGACATACATAAGCCTATGTACATGCATGTATACGCCTTTAATGCATTGTATTTTTATTTGTATTACAGAGCTCGTTAAGTCGTTTAACGTCTGAGTGGGCTGTGCGTAAAGCGATTGCCATAAATCTGGATGATAGACGACTTAGCAGATGCCATTTGTGTACATATATGCATGAATGTATGCATGTGTGTACATATAAATATATTTTTGAATGGGTACATCTCTGTATCTATATATCTGCAATAGTACTTGTCAAAATTTAAAATTTCAATTACTAAAGAGATGATGGCTTTAAATCACTCGTTGGGGTTTGTTTTCAAAACAGAAAACTACAAATATGTTAGTGAAATATTTATTTATTTATTAACTACAACTAAGAGGCAGTTTTAGAAGTCAGTTTTAACAATCCAGCAAATTTTGAATTGTGTCTCCTAGCTGAATTTTTTGTTATTCAAAATATTACTCAATTTAAGAGATCAACTTAGTGAAATTCGAGTTTGTTCAACAAAAATTGCATAGAATCTTATATCTAAATATTACTGCCATTAATCTTAATGTCTATATATTTGTTTTCAACTGTATTTATAATTAAAGTGTTCCATTTATTTTCCCAGGCTGGAAAGCAAAGGCCAAACATAATACACACCGAGAGAGAGAATGAGCTGGGCAGTTGTTGGAGAAGAAAGAAGAAAAAGAAGCGCAGTGAAATGGATTTAAGAAGCAACGAGTGGAGAGGAGAGGCTACTACAGAGGAGCAGAGTTTCGATCGACCGATCGATCGATCATTTTGACCTACCGACCGACCGACTGTTTATGCAAAAAACACAAAGAAAAAAGAAAAAATCAACAAAAAAATGTATAAAAAAAATCAACACAAATCAAATGCAAGCAAATCAATTTAAAATGCTAAAATGTTAGTAAGAAACAAACAAAGGACAAAAGTAAACGAAACCAACCAACCCACAAATATGTAACGAAGCAAACAAAAAATATGATGATTGATGTATGATGAATGATGAATGGTGATCGTAATGATGGGACTATGATGAGAATGATGATGATGTGAAATGCATGTAAGCGAAGCAACCAACCAACCAACAAAAGAATGTCAACCAATGTGATGTTAAATTTTATATTTTGTACTATGGATGTAATTGTAATTGTAATGTATATGTATGTATTTATTATTTTAAACAACAAACTAAACATAGGATAAACACAAAAACAAGCAACTAAACATAAAGTATACAACAAAACACCCACAACACAACACACCCACACACACACTATAAATAATTATGCTTAATTAGAGAGCAAAAGCAAAGCAACCAAAAACAAATCAAACAAAAAAACATTAATTATTTTTTGCAAATCCTTGTGTTTATCCAACGTCATAAATTAGTTATTGCTATTTATATATGATTACTTTTATCACACACAAACCACTTTTTTTTGTTATACCACACAAATTGTATCTGTTTGTATTGTTAATTTTAAAAAAAGAACGAAAAACAAAAAAAAAAAAACAAAACTAATATGCGTAAATATTGCAAATATTGAACCATCTGTCATGTGAAAATTCTGGTCAAACGAATGCTTAAGGCAATTTAAATGTTTAAATGTATTTCAAGTTTCAAAACTGGCTAAATGGAGTTCCTGTCTTAGACATAAGGGATCCAATAAACAAAGCCGCATTCACAATCCGTAACACGTATGCAAATTACGTGCTGTGCCGTAAATACACGCATATAATTTATATGTAAAACTATTGTATAATTTTATGGGTTTTTTTTTTAAATATGATTTTGTTAATATTTGTAAAGTAATAACAATTTTCCTTAGCGGCAGTTGCGGCGATAAGCGATGAGTAGTTTTTGTAAATGATATATGTATATGTATAAGTATATATATTTACATGCATAAATATATACACGTATGTATACTTAAATATAATGTACATATATAAACATATTATTGTATAACTATAGCATTCAGCGTAAGCCTCAAATCAACATTAACGTTAACACAAATGCAACTGATTTTCCACACACACACACACACAAATAAATAGTTGAAAAGAATAAGAAAAACAATATTTACCCACAGCTGGAATTTTGATTTATACTTGTAATTGTTTGTAAAATACATTGAGAGTATGTACACAAAAATGAAATAAATTAATAACAAAATACGACAACAAAACAGAATTGTAAGCGAAAACCCAAAAACAGAAAACAAACGTTAAATGTAATTTGCAACAAATACCTAAAAACAAATATACATATATAAAAATGCATTAGCTTGTAATAAGTATGTCTTGATCCTATTAAGAACATTTCAAACTTTTTACACCCTAACCAAAAGCGAAAACAAAATAAACTTAATTGATAAACGAAAAATTACCAAGTAAAATGACAAAAAAAAAACTGACGAAAGAAAAAATTGAAACAAAAAAAATGAAATTAGAAAATAAATGAGTGATTATATATAAATACATAAATTGATAATATTGTCATTTCCATTTTGCTTCTTAAGTGTTTAATCCTTGAATGCGGTTCGGTGGAGGAGGTCCAGCGATTTCAACTCACCATGTTATTCAGTAATCTGCAATGACTTAAGGATCTTTAAAGGACATACAAATTTTATCTCCAGAACTCGACAAAAAATTGCTGCAAAATTATACAGGGGTAGGTAAAAAAAGAATGATAAAAATTGGAACATCCGTCGCAACATGGCCATTTCAGTGACTGTCATGATGTGTTTTAAACAGATAGTTTTTGTCCTCCAGATACAAAATTGCTCATGGCTCGCCTCCAAGTATGCAGCAGTTTTTACTCTATCATGATTTAGCCAATACATAGCCAATACATCAACCAAATTGGTACCATTTTTGGTACACATGCATGGCAACCTATACCACATGCATACAACACCCCATAGCTCGTCAGATAAATGGAAATATCGTTTTTGGTACACGAAGTTTTTGTTTATTTGTAGCTTGATTTGTGAATCCTTGTACAAGTTGTGTAATTGCTTAATTAGTTGACATACTCATCCGAAATGGAACTGATTGAAACACATTTATTTATCATGCATTTCTCGTAATCTTTAGGCATTTAGTATTAATCATTAATCAGCGCAAAAATCAATTAACGAAAGATAAAGGCTGTAAATTAACAAATTAATTAGGTAACAAATTCCAATTTGATTGCACCTGTCAAATGGATGCGTGTGTGAATATTGATTAATTAGATGGGTATAGGATAAGTTTGATTGAAATGATTAAACTCTAAATTAAAAAAAGCTTTGTGCTTAAAATTAAGTAAGTGAAATTATAAAGTTGTTTTCTTTATAAACTAAAAATTAATTTAAAATTCTGAAATAAATCCAAGGCCTGGCGATTTCGTTTTTACTCTTTGTCGTGCGTCCAGAGTCTGAGTTTTGGTCTCCTACTCCTACCTCCATCCCTCCCCCGCTTTGCATAATTGAGGGCGGAGGGGTGGCCGTAATATGGACGAAAGCAACCGAAACGATATTGTCTTTGTGTCTTTCAATTTTCAATTCATTGATTGTAGTCGACTTTACTTTTCGAGCATTGGTGGTTTTTTTGTTTGTTTTTCTTTTTTTTTTTTTGTGGAAGAGGAAGTTGGTGGGAGAGGGGCATAGCGCTAATAAAGCGACAGATGACCCCAACCTGAACTTCTATATATGCGCACAAATATTGGCAGCTACAGGCAGACCACTTCGCAGCGTCCAGTCAAATCGAGTTCCACTGTAGTCAGCCTCGAAAACATACGTAATGCCTTGTTTTGCAATATATGCATTTAGTTATCGCACTATCCGGTTCGGTGACCGTTAGACCCACGGCGTCCAGCCCTCGTATAATATGGCCAGATTATCTGGATTAGTTGCCTCGCGTATCACATAGTCCACCTGCTCTGCAATGGTGCTCCGTTGATTGCTATCCGGATCGCGTCCCTCCAGTTTCATGCGTATCTTCTTCCACACGGATACCCCGTACGCATTTCTCTTCTGCTCATGCGAATTTGGAGCACCTGCAAATTGAAAAGTATGGATGAGCTTCCAGTGAATAGGTGGAACAATCGAAATGTAACGGTTTACCCTTGTTATGCGTAAATGTTTCATATGGCAGCGAATCGCCATCGGCAGCATGCTGCAGGAACTCATCGATGCTCTTGAAAAAGTCATCGACATCGTGGTTGATCATCTCCTGGATAAGCAACAGCTGCTGTTGCCAACTGGCTAGCGTGCTTGGTTGCATAGCATGGCGATCGCCGCTTAGATCCTTGCGCAGCTCCACCAACAGCTGGAAGAAGTTCAACAATTTGCGCTGGGAGTCGCGCACATGACCGCACAGCAGCTGCACATCCAGCGGAATCAATTTGCCCGAACCACTCGTCTGATCCTCGAGCTCGGCGCACATGTTCCTCATATAAATGCGTGGCATATGCTCCTGCTGACGCTGCAACAATGTAGATGTGAGATTAATGGCATAATTAAATACAAATAATAAATATTAATTATTGATGATTGATGATTGATCCACAAAGGTCGGTAGCGGTAAGTTATTGAACTGATTGAATGAGCAGGGTCCCTTTGCCAAAGTTGGTTTGATCTCGTTGAGTCCACAAAAAGTGCCAGTTTCTCTAATATACTTAAGGAATTGTTGCGTACCAGAATATCCTTGAGAAGGGTGCAAATGAATGTGTGACGCGTCTGCTGCTCGGTCTCGAGCGTCGATATCTCGCGCTGTACCTTGCACGTGTAATCCTCGAGCAGTCCTTGGACATTCGTTAACCAGCACTGATCGATGCCACCCTCGGGATCGAGCAGCTGCACAACGGCCTGCTCGACAGCACTGATCCGTGCATTGCTCTCCTGCCACTGGGCATAGCATTGCAGCCAGGATTCCATGTGCTCGGGCAACTGTTGTTGTTGCTGTTGTGATTCCTGACCAATTGTACCCATTTGCTCGATGCTGCAGAGGGCGCTGGCGCAATTGCTAACATCACCAATCATGTCCAAGTGATTGAGGGTCCTTTTATGCAACCGCTCATCAATGCGCAGCAGACTATCGATGTGATTGCGATTCCAGTTGCTGCGATGGCCCTGCAGCTGTTCCAGCTGTGAGTTCAGTTGATGAACCAGCTGCTCCATGACCGCTGAGCTCTCGTCGAGTGTCTGCCAATTCTCGTAGATAGCTTTGCACAACGTCTGCCGACTTATGATGTGTGGGGAAGACAGCTCGTAATCGAGCAGTTCACCATAGGCCCAATAATGGGCCGATGCAATTAGCGTCAGTGTCTCGATCTGTTGACTGAGCTGCGATATATCGCGCTTTTGCTGTAGCAACGTTGCCTTCGCTTGGAGAGATGCAAAGAAGCCATCACACAGTTGCAGCAATTGCGTCGGACAATCGGAGAGCGCGGCCAACTCGTGGCAACGTGTACCGCAATTCGTATAGAATGCATAGGACAACAGCGGCACCAGACCCACAATATAATCCTGTTGCAAACGATGCATAAAGTTGTGCACGGGGCCACCCATCAGCCGGATATTGTAGCTCTGACTGGAGCGCAGCGTTTGCAGCACCAGCTCAAAGAAAACGGCGCCACTAAGATGCTCTCTGCTCGCGTTCTTCAATATGCTCAGTTCCTGCAACGGATCAGAGATGGAAAGGCAGTATGTTTAAGGAGAAGAGAACTTTATGACAATACACAAAGAATGATTTTTATGTGGGAGACAATCCGATCAAATCACCAAAGATCAATTCGAAATTATTATTTGTGTTCTTCACTCTTTTCAACATGTTCTCTGCTTTCTCTATCTTTCTCTCCTTCTCTTTCTCTTTCGTAGGCACCCTTTCTAATCATCAAACTCCCTTAACTTTGTGGAAACTGAACTCATTTTCCATTTCTAGTATCTCAAGTCCTTATCTACGCTAAACTACAATCTTGATATTGTCCATGTCAGTAGTGGGTGTCTAAATAAATATATAAAGCTATCTTTAATCAGATTCTGAGGTAAATTTACAAAAGATTTTGGTATGTTGAAAACCTTATATCCGCAGAAATTACAATCGAAATCTTCAAAGTCCAAATTCATCAAACTTGTCTTCAAATGCGATGTGGTTTTTCTAGTTTGCTCTTAAGTTTAGTTATGCATCGAAAAAACGAGGAGCTCAATTAGGTTTGTCGGATTCTCTGTAAAGCTGTTTCGATACTTGGGAGAAGACTTCGATTCCTTCGATTATATATATATATATCGTAATTCTCCAATACATCCCCTCCCTTGCTGACAAGCATCTTGAAATCTTCTGATCTACATGTTGCCCTCTCTCTCTCTCTCTCTCTCTCTCTCTCTGCTGATTATCACTTTAGTGTTTCCCTTTAACTGAAAGACTGAAAGATGGAGCAAAGCTTTGGTTCACTTCTATTACTTTTCAAACTCTCAGTTGGACTTGGACGCCAAATAGCTCACCATATATTGCTGTGTCTGATCATCCGGAATATCATCGATTATCAATTTAATGGTGCGTTCAATTCGTTCCAGTGCCTTGGTGAGCTTCTCGAACTGTTCGTGTCCCGACTGTAGACAGAGCATAAACTGATCGAGCTTCTCGAACTGTTCGTGTCCCGACTGTAGACAGGGCATAAACTGATCGCTGACAGTGGGCAGCGGAACTGATGATTTCTCCTCCGGCAGATGGTGGTGCTCCTCCTGCTCTTTGTGTTGTGACAGTGCCTGCGAATATCGTTCACTCAGCGCTTTGCTGCTCAGCTGCAGCAGCGCTGTCAAATCATCCAAATTGGGACTGAGCAGCAGCAGGCGAAAGATGCTCACGGGCAATTCCTCCCTGAAGAAGGACTGCAACTTAATCAGTGAGTCGAGCGCCGTGTCAAGTTCGCTCAGCTGCTCTCTGGCCTGCTCGGACTGGACGGAGTGCACGGAATCCCCGGCAAGTTTGCGGCACATGGTGCGCACATGCTTTATGAACTGCAATTGTTGTTGCGTCAATTTTGTGTCGTGTGTAGCCAAAGCGGATTTCTCGTAGTTGGTAAATGCAGCAGTTGCCTCATCCATCGTGTGGATGAGTGCCGCATTGTGCAGCATCTGGCTGAAGTTACTCTCTTGGATCGTGTCTACGGATTGCGGTTGCGGTTCTTTTGCTACATTGCTAACTTGCTGCTGCAACTCATACAGCTGACAGGTAAGTTGCACCCAAACCGTTTCCAGTGTTTCAACAATCTTCAGTTGTTCGCCAACATTGATGTGGCACATCGGACTGGGGGCAATGCTATTGCTATTGCTACAGACGCTGCCACAACTGCTATCTGCCATATGGCGCAGATGCTGTGCATACGTGTCGCGGAATCGCACATACTTGTTCTTGCGATTCGCCTGCATCGGATAGTAAAACATAATCGATGCATATTGCAGCATATGCTCCACACACTGTAGCCCCAGATCGCTCAGACGGACGGAGAGCTTGCCCAGCCGGTGGCGTGTGCTATTTAACTCCTCCAAAATGTCGCCGGGCAGATGGCCATGCACCTGTTCTTGTAGCTGGTCGTAATTGGTGTTCCAGTTGCCGGCCACCAATTTTAAGTGAACGAGACACGCACTGAACTTGATGAGCTGCGACTGTTGCAGGCATTGATTATAGCTGGCCAGGAGGCACTGCACCCGTTCGTAGTCCGCGCGACACTGGACCGTCTGTTCGGCCAGCATTTCCTCGTGGCGACGCTTGATGGCATAGCGTGACGAGGCCGTATTGAAACTGTGACTCTCGATCGCCGTGCCAAGTGAATTGATTTCGGCTATCAGAGCCGAACGCTTATTCAGATTGACCAGCTCCTGGTCGGCGCTGAGACGCTGCGCCTGCATCTGTTGCAGCTTCCCAATCTCGACCACCATTTCCGACAGCTGCGGCAGTATTTTCAGTCTGTAAAGCAAGTTAAGCGAAGTTAAGCTATGTCATAATTTTTAATTTCAAATCTACATTGATCTGTGTTCAGCATTGCTTGCAATTTTTATAAGAGAAAAAAAGCGGAAAAATCGCAGTAAAAAATGTGCAAGAAATTATTGAAATTTAATTCCATTTAGATATGCCCGAAAAACGTAATAATTTTAATTAATTCCAATTGAAAATGTTAAATAAATTCCTTCTGATTTTTATTTAGCAAATTGCCCAATTAACGATTACTTTGTATTATAAAAAATAGAGAAAATAAAAGTTAAATTTTTTATTCTCTAATGATTTTTGTTTATCTGTTTACATATGTAGAGAAACAGCTGACTAAATGGACGAATGGGAATCCGTCTCCCTGAATACGAATCTTGACGGGATTTGAAATATATATTGGAGTAAATATAATAAAAACAAAACAAGCACTTAGCATGGAGCCCAACACTAAACTAAACTATTACTATTATTACTTATTACTATTTCCTCTACAAGCCGGATTTATAAAAGGATGATCGGATGATCTACAATAAGACTGTTTGAATTCAAGATGCATACAAATATTCCCAAATATCTCTATACAAAATGAAGAAATATGCCTCAGCAAGCAAAATGAATTGAAATTTGCATTTAAGTGTGGATAATGAATATGCAATATTCTCCGCTCTGCTTACAAGTTTTGTGTGTGTTTTGTGACTGAATTGAGTTTAGTTGTATAAGTTCAGAAAATCATGATAGATATGTCCTCTAATCGATATTACTCACTTGGCCGAGCTCCAAAACTTTTGGCACTGGTTCAGCTTGCCGACAAGGTGCCGCCGTTTGGCATCCCAATCGTGCAACTTGTTCTTCGACTTGTCCTTCTTCAGGCATTTCATCTCATTGGAAGCGGTCGACGAGGGTTTGGCATTGACGGCACGTCGCAGAGCCGCTGCATCATCGTTGATCGTCCAATCGACGAGGGGATCGTAGACAAACGCCTCGAGCAGGGTGAGCAATGTTTCCCGCTCTTTGCGCATCACCTTAAGGACATACTCGCAGCCCAGACGAAACGAGCCCTGCAAGATAGCAAAAAAAAAAAAAACCAGCAATAACAATATGAGAAAACGAATAGATAACAATAGATGCAATCACACACACACACACACACACATATATATCTGTGTTGTATTATATGTTATAGGGAGATCATAAATAGATACGATTCGTATGCGTACTCGTAAATAATGCTCGCACAAATCGCGTTTATCGTCACGCCTATCAAATAGATACAAATCGTATATATACACACAGATGGGGGAAGATACATTCGACAGCCGTCGCAGTCGTAAAGCGACACAAACCAAACATTTTTATATGGACTATTCGAACTGCTGATTTTATGATATACTAGGCATATATATAATATATATATGTAAAAGATTTCAACCTTTATTCCAGATACGCACAATCACTGTGGACAATTGTCGATTGTTGCATTTGTTTTATTGAGAAGCAACTTTGCAGCTTGTGCGTAGTTTGTACTTGTTTCGATTGTTGATATTTGGTGTTTATTAATGTGGCACATATAAATTTATTCATGTATTACTCATGTCTCCGTGGGGGTTAGGACAATTAGGAAAATCCCCTGTCAACATTGGAACATTTCTTTGTCAATGACGATACAATTGGGACTCTTCACAACATCTTTTTTTCGACAAATTGTTGTTACTGCTTATAGAACTTATCTTGGCCAAATATACTAGATCTAAAGGTGCCTGGACATGTTTAGTATAAGACAAGTGCCACTTATAGCAGAAGCCAATAGTATTGGAGACTGTGAAATACGCAGTACATTTCGCAATATGAAAATTATTTAGTTACCATAATAGTTGCTTAATGGTCAAAATTTGATAGAAAGGGATTTATTACAAATGTTGTCTTCTGGTCACTAAAATGTATAAATAAAAGTTGAGCTGGCCTTAAAATTCATGATATGAACTTTGACATGGAAGTGTCCGAAACAATTTTGTGGGCCAATTGTAAATATAGAAATCATATCACTTGTTAAATATAAGCTGGAGGTAGGCCTGACAGCTCAGCTAGGGTTAACACTGAAGTGCTAAAAATACGTTCACGAAATACCTGTAGATAGAGAAATGTGCCAGTTGCAGGCGAACCCATTAGATAGCTGGTAATCATTTACCCCACCGGTTAATATACATCAAATGCCAGCCAGGTGGAAACTACAAAATACGCTACACAAATCCATCGGGCAACGCTGAGGATTTCTGTCTTTTTTTGTTTTGCAGAAAACCGCATTTAATTGTGGGGCACACTCAGAAAAAATATTGCAGTAAATTTTAAAGATTCGCCATACTTTTGCTGCCAGGAGTTACTCACCTTATTTGCATTGGTTAAGCTGTAAAAACTCTACATTTTAGAAATATTTTATATTATTTCCATTTAGTACAAAATTTAAAACAAAAAAAAAACCATATTTGACCTGCTAAGCCTTGCTAATTTTAAGAAAAATATTTTCTTATTTACGGAAATTATTTCCAAAAAACAAAAAACAATAACTTTTGATTGTTTTTCTGAGTGCAAGCAGCACGCCGCCCAATATGGTTGGGTGGGTTCTCAAAGCTTATCAACGGATTGTGTTTCTCACGCTGGATCTGTCACTGGTCGCTGTCAGTTATCAGTTGGTGCAAAACCGAAACGTAAACAAACGACACCCACGAACTGCCATCAGCAGCAGCAGCAGCAGCAGCAGTCGAGCGGTGGAGCAGCAACTTAACCAAGTCCTTTGCCCCATGTGAAGCAGACTATCGACCAGATTGCTAAACACTGGCACACAGTGCGTATCATAGTTGCGCTTTGTCACCGTGTGTGTGTGTGTGTGTTTGTGGGAGATTCCCATTAAACGTCGTGTTGGTCGTCGTCGTCGTCGTCATCGTCGTTTTGCGTCATGGCCACCAACAAGGAAATGCAACTGGAATCTTCACCAACGGAGAGCAATAGCCAGCTGCTAAACAGTTGGATGGGCGACAACTGGGCGATCAGCCACGATGATAGCGATACCCTGCTACCAATCATTAATCCCACATCGATCGAGGAGCTTCTTCAGAGGGAGCAGCAGCCATTTAATACGGTCCTGGCGCTCTGGTTGACCATAAATGCGATCATTTTTGTTGCCATTCTGGTTGGCAATGCTCTCACAATTGTTGCGGTGCGCACTTGCCGCAATCTACGCTCGGTCATATCGAATCTGTTCATCCTTTCGTTGGCCGTCTCCGATTTTATTGTGGGTATTGCTTTGCCCTATCACGTTGCATTTTATATGGGTATCGGCCACGATTTGGGACGATTGCGTGGCCTTTGTTTGTTCCGCTTCTTCCTCTTCATCTGCGCCTGCTGCGTATCCATATTGACGCTGATCTCCATCGCCGTGGATCGTTATATTGCAGTTATGTACGCCCTGCACTACAGACGGTAAGTGCTAATCTAATCTGACCACGACCACGCCCACCGTTTACCGCCTATATTGAGTTAAATTCATATTTGTTGTTTGCCAAAATATCCAGAGTAAACTCACTAATTATGTGTGTTATTCTAATAATAAATCTTTGACATCGGACTACTACATCAAATATATAATGAACAACTTCCTTGTTTACCAAAACTATTCGGGAAAAACTTACGAATTATGCGTGTGATTGAGCTTCTTACATTTGTACACAAAAATGATCGACTTGGGAATGCCATATATTATATAGCTGCCATAGGAGCAATCTAACAAAAAGTGAAGTGTTTTATGTGAGGATACAAATATCAAGAGAAATACGCTTTAGACTACAATTTCTAATAAATTCGATTGTGACTCAAGTTAGTTTCCACTCCAAGTTGGTTTTTTGCAACTTTGGGATAAATCAAAACAATGCACAAGAATTAAACAGTATCTTTAATCCTATGCGAAACTGTTGTACGACTAAGGATTAAAGTGAAGCTAGACCTTTTCTCCATTACCTTCATTACATTCTATACCTATTTAAATCACGAATCAAGTTCAAACCAGTTCCATTTCTTTTCGTGGCACAGCTATATATAGTGTATACCTTTAGGTTCCGGTTCCGGTTCAGTTCTCAGTTGTTAAACTGCAATTTAAATCTGAATATATTTTCGTTTTAGCTATATGACACGTCGGATGGCCTACATAATTATCACGTGCAACTGGTGTGTGGGCGGTTTGGTGGCACTGATACCCATCTTCTGGAATAAATGGTCCGAGACGCAGGGCTGCGAATTTGATGAAGTGCTGATGCCCTGGTATGTGGCTGGCATCATAACGCCCGGATTCGTAATCATCTGGATCTGTATGCTGGTCTTCTACTGGCGCATCATGCGCGAGGCCTCCAAACAGGCGAAGCGACTCCGTCAATCTGTCGTCTACAATACGCATAGTAGCCATAGCATACTGCATCCGGATTGGAAGAGTGTTCAGATCGTTGTATTCATCATGGGCTGCTTTACGCTCTGCTGGCTGCCATATTTCTGTGTCGCGATTGCGCAACTCTTAAGCGTTTGTCGGAGCAGTTCGATGATCTATAAGACAACCTTCTCGCTGGCGATGGCCAACTCGGCCCTCAATCCCATCATCTACTCATGGAAGAACGCCGGCTTCCGACGTGCCTTTGCCCAAACGCTGTGCTGCAAGTCCGCCAGCTGTTGTCGCATCGATGACAACGATCTGGAGCTGCACTTACCCTCCGACAGCGTCAAGCAGCGCATCGATAGCAACTGTGACTGCAACAGCAATAGCAACAGTAAAAGCAATACCAGCCACACATCCAATAGCAAACCTACCAAACCACAAACACAATCCTCAACTCAGTGCACAGGAGCGCCATAACAAGCATTAATAAATCGATCAGATACCAAACCCAAAGGCTGTTCTAAATTCAAGTAGAGCTGGTAAAAAAAGAGAAACCTGTGAAGAAATTCCAATTTAAAACAAGTCCAAAATTTGCCAGTCTTCTTAAATGGCTGATAACTCTGTCGTTAAGCGATATGATAAAATATCCAAACTAAGGTGAGGTGTAAGAGCCAATATTTCAAATAGAATAATCCATCTCTCTCTCTGTCTCTCCCTGCAACGAGCTTAAGAAAAGCTTTAGAGTATCTTTCTCTCTCATAGAGATTTCTAGAATTCGGGTGACAAAATAAGAGACGAAAGTAATGTAGAACTGTTGAAAACTCGATCGACAAGAAATACGAACATTCACAAAATAGGAAATCATGAAACCATATCACAAGTAAAGCATGAAATTTCAAATCGGAATAGGGGAAAGCATAATCAAATCATTTCAAATACATCTCATCCATAGTAGTTGCATACAAATTTAAATTTGTTGCTCGAACGCTCAGCTCGACCGATTTTAGCCTAGTTTATATTCGGGTTCGTTATAATCTTTCAACTTTGGCCAGGTTAGAATATTTTTAGAGCAGAAAATGTAGGGTTTCTTGGGTTTCTGCAGTTGAAATCCAAGGGTTTCAGTTGAAATCCAAGGGTTCACCAAGAACTCAAAAAAAAAGAGAAGTCGAAGGGCACGCCCCGAATTCCTAGAGTACGAAGCGCAGGGTTACCCAAGAATTCCTAGAGTACGTAACAAAATATGATTGAGTGTAAAGTGTAAACCACCGCCGAACGCAAAGAGCATTACTAACCAGTTGTGATTGACTGTTAATCAAATTCTATAAAATATCCAAAGGTTAAGAGTTAAGAGTCTGATGAATGGATGAAAATGTGTTTGAGGCACTCACCTCGATGCCCGTTATGCCCAAGGCATGCACCATGTTCTGGGTAAGGCGGAAGGGCACACGTTCCGGTATGCGCAAGGTGCGACCCTTTTCAAAGCAGACATTATAGTCGATGTGTACGATATCGCCGCTTCTCAAATTGATGAGCACATTGTCCAGATGGCGATCGCCCAGCCCGATTACATAGCCAATGACAGACATGACGGCCATGCAGCTGGTATAGCGACGAACCGATTGACGCCATTCGGCCGCACAGCCGGCCTGACACCACAGCTCCCTGGCGAGCAGATCTTTGGGCGTCTCCTGCATCAGTTCGTTGAGCACCTGACGCAACACGGAGAGGGGCCACTGGCGACGGGGATCAGTCACGAGCATATTGTGCTTGGCCAGCAGCGGCGATAGTTTGCTGTAAAAGAAATCGGTGAGGCGGCGCGACGAGGCAGATGCGTCGGCATCCGGCTGGCGTTGTTGCCACTTCTTGTAGAGCGCAAACAGCGGCGTCACCCCATCAACCCAACTGATTAGACCCGATTGGGGGCCCAGTGGTATGACAGAGTAGTGATGTGCACGATAGCAACTGTTCGGTGTATCATTCTTGCTGGCCATAATTGCATTCGAGATGGATAAAAATTGCATGATGCGCTCATCTAAATGCAGATCCTCCAGTCCCTTGAAGAGGAACGTATACTTTTGTCCATTGCTGCCATAGAAGGCGACTTTTTTGGGTTTCGTTTTGGTGGGCAGAATGCATACCGTACTCTCCACATGATCAATAACGATCGGTTGCAGCTCATCCTGTGCATCCAGGCCTGGCATGGAGATGGACATGCGTCCAATCTCACACAGCACTGGACTAATGCAACGCATTTTGAGGGTGTTGCTTGTGCCGCGCAGCATGTTCGATTGGAGGATGTGATAAAGCTGTTTCAGTTTGTCCCATGCCTCCGGATACGGTTGATGACGCAGTGCGTCCAGTGTGTGCTTGATGGGCGCATCGAAACGTCGCTTGAAATTGCGCTCATAGCTTGTCTCCGGTTCGCGTGCCGTAAATCTTATCAACGCCTCCAGATCTTGCAGCAACTGCGGACGCCAGCTGTCGAAACGATTCTGTTTGCCCTCCAGATCATCCGGTTTAAACTCACTGGCCATGCTATGGACGCGACCCACATAGCTGTTGTAGATGTGCGCCAATGAGTGGATCCAATACTCATCCCACAGCAGGCAGACGCGACGCAGCTCCTTCACCAGCAGCTGGACATGCTGCACCACCTCGGGCGATTGTTTGGTCAGGGCACTCAACAGGCTGGCATAGCTGCTCTCAGTTGCTGGTGAGCTGCTGTCGCTGCCGCTGCCGGTGCCGGTGCTGGTGCTAGTACTGGTTAGGGGCGTGGCCTGCAGCTCACGATTGGCGCCGACGACAGCGGGAAAGGTGACCAACTGCGGACGACTCTCCGCCAGGCGGCAGAGCAAGGCACAAACACTCTGCCTCACATACGGTTCATGATGATTGAGGCGACTGAAGAGCTGTGGTATGATCACCTTCCAGGGTCCAATCGGTGTCGTCTTCAGTCCCTGCTCGAGTACATCCTGCAAACCGCTCGCATGCTTCACAATCAGCCGTAGCAATCGCAATGTGGTTGTCACCATATTGCTATCGTCGACATGGAAACGAGATTGCTGCGTTCCCGATCCCTTCAAGCTGAGATAGTGAAAGTATGAGTGTGCCGCCGCCTTGTAGTAATCAAATGTTTGAGCCATCGCACGCCGCCAGATGCGCACAATCATGTCCAGTGTGCTCGGCGGCCGATGTGCGAGCAATTCAAGGCGACGCAGTCGCTGCTCACATTGTGCATCCGTTTGCAGGTCCGTCTCTTCGCAGCTGCTGCCCGGCGGCGATTCCATGCGCAGCGCCTGCATCAGCTCCTGCAGCGTATCGTTGTCGAGCGCATCAGTTCCGCCGCCCAGTTCGCTACTAATGGCATTGATGTCCACTGGACTCAAAATGCAACCGTTGTCGACAATCTTTTTGCCCCAGCGATAGCACCAATTGCCATACGCAATCAATGCTTCTTCGTTATCGGGCCGCTGCTGCAAACTGGCGTAGATTAGCCGTGCCACAACACGTTCGCCATGTGGCTGTAGAAGGCTGCTGCTGCTGTTGCTACTGTTGCTGCTGCTGCTGTTGCTGTTGCTAGTTAATGGACACTCGGGCAGCTGGTCCAAGAGCTGTTGCAACGTGGCCGACATATTTGTGGCCAAGCCACTGCAGCTGCGCGCACTTATCCAATCTGATAGAGTCAACAGGAGCTCAGCACCCACCTGCTGCTGCTGCTCCTGCTGCTGTTTCTGGATATTGAGGCAGAGTGCGGCGCATATGTTGATGGAGCTGAGTTCGGTGCAGTGCAGCTGTGGCTGCTGTTGCGATTGATGCAAACACTTGGCCATCTCGCTGTAGCCGCGTAGCAACTGATCATCGGTTGTGTCCAACGGTTGCCGCAGCAATTGTCCGGCGATTTGGGTCAGCGGTTCGCCAAAGTATTGTTCCAATATTGCTTGACTGGTCAAATGATTGCCCTCCTCGCGTGCCAACATCGCTGTGTCCACATGCAATGTGCCCTCGGTGTCTCGTACACAATTGCGACGCAACAGCTGTGTCCAGGCCATGCAACGCAATAGCAGACTGCTCGTTATGCAACTCTGTTGCAGCGCATCCTCTCGATCCAGTGGCAGCAGTGTCAGATGCTCGTGCTCCGGCCGTTGGGCAACAATGTGCTGCAGCAATGTCAACTGCTGCCAATGGCCTTGTTCGTGGCTGGTGTTGAGCAAAGATTCGCGCCAATTCGTGTCCAGCAGTGACTGCTGCATCTCGAACATCTCGTGCGGATCGAGCGTCTGACGCAGCACTGCCTGCTCCAGTTTGTCGTGCACATAGCTGGCCGCAAAGCTGGCTGGCTGTTTTTGCTGATTGGCAGCTAGTTCGCCAGTGGGCCAAATGCTTAGATTGTGCAGTGCTGCATTTAGTTCATCCGATCTCAACTGGCCATCATATTTGGACAACAGGGACTCCATGGCGCTCACTTGCACGCTGCTCCTCTGCAGAAATGGATTGAAAATGTCAGCATGCTCCTCGTTGCGTTTCAATTGCAACTTCAAGTTAACAGATTGCGCCCATTGACCGGTGCTGTGCAGACACTCAATCAATTGCGAGAGCACAAATTGACGTGTATGCGGCTCCAACTCGGCCGCCTGCTGCTCATCGTCGAGCACATTGCGATAGCCGGCCAATGCCTGATCCCTGCGACCGGCAGCCTGATCGGATGCATGCAACAGCCACTGATAGCTCTTCTCGCTCTTTGAGCGCGCCCAGACGTGCAAACCACGCAACGCATCCGATTCACCGCAATGGATGTGCGCCCAGGCTAAATAAACTATCGCCTGGCTGTGCAATGAGCAGTCCTGGGACTTTGGCGTCTGTAATATTTCCTGCGAAAGATGAGAGGTAGAGAGAAATAACGAAAAATTGGCTTATTATATATGTAGATATAATAATATTATATAGATGTATAATGCAGAATAAAATCATAATAAAAATTATAAAACTTCTCGTTTTTAAGAAGAAGAACAAGTCCAAAACAACAACACTCTGCAAATTAGATATATTTTTTAATAAAGATTAGAACAATCCAACTTGGAATTAAGGGCAATGCCAACCGCGGATTTTTAGAAAGCCACAACAATCATATTAAGCAAATTTACTTTCAAAAGTATGGCGATTCACTAAAATGTTGGTCTATATATGTTTTACTGAGTGTACTAATGTGTAATATTGGAGGCACTCTCACCTGGGCATAGCGTACGGCCAGCTCTGGTTGCTGGCAGTGCATGGCAATGATGACGACACCGATGCGTGTGCGATTGAACCAGGACTGGCATGTGGGATTGTTGAGGCGAAAGAATGCACTCACTGGCTTCTCGGGGGCACGCAATGCGAACGCACTGCCCTCGGCGGCATTATAGATGTGCTTCTCGAGCGCATCGAGGAAGCCCAGCAGCATGCTGAGATTGGCCTGTGTATTGCACAGCTGTTGCAGCGACATCTCATCGAAGGTCTGACGCTCCGCATCCTTGGCACAGCCGTTGAGCAATCGAGCATAGCGCATCACAATCGCCTCGATGGCCAGAAACGTGTCCTGCGGCTTGCCGAGCGTGGTGCGCAACTTCTGATCAAGACAATAGCGTGCCGCCTCGTGTTGCAGCCAGGCGCTGGCCAAACACTGACAGCGTCGCGTACACTGTGTCAATTTCTCTTGGCGCTCATCGAGCACATTCACCTGACAGCTGCGCACGAATAGCGCACGCAGAGAGCCGTCAACGGGCAACGGTTGCTCCTCCGGCGTCTGCAGACGTTCCACAAAATCGCGAAAGACATTATCGCGTACGGCGCTGCATTGGCTCAAACGCTGTTGCCAGATGCTGACATGCGTGCTGCAGCCAATGCCGATGGCACACCGTTTAACAATTGTCAAATGTAACGGCAATTGGGCATAGATCTGGGCATATATCGAATGGATGCTGCTGCTGCACAACGCTTTCAGTTGCTGTAACGCCGTATCGCGATATAATTCGAGCAGTTGCCGGCTGAGATTGCTGCAGCCATAGCCAAGCACGGCCAGCATACATTGGCCACTCTCCATGGGCGCATATTTGGGCGTTACGCTGGCAATGCAATCGCATATTGTGCGGAAGTCCCCGTGCAGCAGCAGCATCGTTGAATGCGTGGCACACTCGGCGAGCAGTGAGCTTGTCCAGTTCAGCAGCTGTTGCAGATTCAGGGGCGATAGTTGTGTCACCGCCTGCTTTGACAGACAGTGGGCCAGAAACTTGAGTATGTGCCCAAAACTGTGCGCCGTCGGCTGCGATATGATGTTGTCGTTGCCATCGCACAATAAACTTGAATTTTTGCGAAAATTATGATTCGCCTGGCAGTGGACGATGAGTAGAGCAATTATTGCCTGATGGCTGGACGAATGCTTCGACCAGATGATCAGCTCCTCGGCGCGACAATTGTCAATCAGCAGCTGTAATATGGATGGCTTGCAGGCGTACATGCCAATAATGGATGCGGTTTGCTTGGCCAGCGAGGCCAACGCGGCCAATTGGAAGGTGAGCAATGCACTCGCATTTGTCTCCATTGGGGCATCTGCAATGCGGCTCATACAATTGTCAATGTCCGCGACGAGTTGTTTGTATGCCAGCTGCAGCAGCGGCACATTCCGGATGAGCAACGTCTCCTGGCAGCAGCGCAACAGTAGCTTATATGCCGCATGCTCGCTTCGCACACGAATCTCCGCAAGAAATGGGGACTCCGATTGAAAGATCAGTTGGACGAGTGTGTTGGGTAAGCGTGCACGAAGTTTGCGCACCGTGCACAATAATAAATACATGCAGCTCAGCTGTTGAGATTGTCGCAGTTTTGTTATATGCACGAACTGCAAGTGGATCAGTTGATTTAATGTGGCTGCATCCGGTTCACTGTAGCCATTCAGCAGGCAAATGCAGAAGAGCTCATTTATGTTGATTAAGGCATCGTTGTTTGAGTTGTTTGTGTCGTCGGCGTCGTCTCCAACTTTGTTGTTGTTGTCATTGTTATTGTCGTGATGCAGCTGCATCAGCACATCGGGCAGCATTTTGGTCAGATGCGACAGGGCAAGGTAGACAATCGACTCGCATGTTATTCGCATGCGGGTCAGGCACTTGAGTAGGGTATTAAAGGCACCGACGAAGGCACCGATCCGTTCGCCGTCAAGCTCCGTTTGGATATCCTCGATGAACTGATGGAGCAGGCCATAGCTGAAGTTCAACTGATTGCTAAAGTACGGCGTTAGCTGTTCCAGTACATAAGCACAATGGGCTTTCAGCTGTTTGGGCTGGCCAATCTCCAGCTGCCAGCCAATTATGATGTCCACCACATTTGTAAAATGGCACTCGAAGGCATCGCGATAATTGTGCGAGAATTGTACAATACACTCGCTAATCGCAATAAAATTGTCCGGATTATCCGCTGCCTCCAGGAAGTCCTTCAGCAGATGCATTATCTTGTCCGCATAAATGTGTAGATCGCATTTGTTGTGATCGCAGCTACGAGAAAATAACGTGGTCAACACACACACACAACACAACACACACATACTTACCTCAGGGTCGTGCGTAGCGCGACAATTAAATACTTTTGCATTTTTTTATTTGTGCGATAGTTCTTCACAATAAACTCTTCGTAGATGGGATACGACATGCGATTTATGTAGCCAATCAAACCGAGCGTCTTACAGCACTCCTCGACCACCAAGGGGGGGCATTGTTTGAATAGCGCCAACATTCCATCGAGGATCACATCGAAAGATCGTGTCAAATAACCCATGTTAACCGGCGTACGCACAGCCATTTCCAGTTTGCTACACAATTCCAATGCGGCAGCTGGGCTCGATTCGTTGTGCAGTCGCCGCATTATCTTCGACATGCGCAGATCATCGTTGGCCAACTGCTGTTTGGCATCGCGATCGTTGCCCGTGAATTGCACTGTGGGATTGCAGATAGTTTTGATTTTGATTTTGCAAAATAGAATAACGTGTTTTTTTGGGGTGCACTTACTCTTGCCCTGATGCGATTTCCGTTGTATCCCTTTGGTCATATCAGTGTTTATATTGCGCAGCACGGGTTTTGATGCCTTCATATCGTGTGATCTTGACCACAACGCTGTCTCATTGATATTATTGTGTTTGCAATTGTGATTGTGATTGTAGTGATTGCCATTGTGGTGGTTACTATTGCAATTGCTGTTTGTGTTGCTGTTGCCAGTGTTACTCTGACCAGTCACATCGCTTAGTGGTGTTTCCACGCTGCCATCGACACCGTTGCTTTTATCCAGTTGGAAAGCGGGGCTTTGCATTGAAAGATCACCGCGACTGGTGATCATATACGTATTTAGTTTGCGCCACCGACGAACTGTTTTTGTTGATTGTGGGTTTCACGTTAAATTCATAGAGATGTCACATTGTTGACAAGCAGTGTGCCCAAATATTCTTAATAATGTCGATAAGCAGCTGATACAGCGCGCTTATCTAGTGCTGCGAATTTTCGATCATTTAAATATCGAATAGATCGACCATGACGGCACTAGTGCGCCACAAGAATTGGTTCAAATTATAAAAAAGGCAGACGACATTTTAAAATTAAGTTCTATTTGATTGTGATGACAAATAAGTCTTTATTAACATTTAGTTTGTCATCCTCTGTGAAATTTGAATCATATGTCGTTTTCCCTGGTGTGTAACTGATTTACTGGCAACCTGTAGCAATAAACTCTTACCATGTGGAACATAAAAACAATATGGTCAGCTAAGAGCCAAACATTTAGCTGAAAATTCAAAAAGGTCGCAAATGGTGATTTTAAATTAAGAAATCATTCTCACAAGAATTATAGTATTATAGTAATATGTACATAAATTAAAATGTTAAATAAAACGATAAATACACTTGGCGCTCCATCATATTGGAAAAGGAGGATGAAGCATAAGAGAGAAGCGCCCGCCTCATTTTTGGGTGGTTTGCCGATAACCACCGTCAGAATGTGTAAATTATGTTCTTTTGACAGCCACATGCGAAACTTGAACAGCTGTTCACAAACCCACATAGGTTAACAGTGAGTTAACAGTGCGAATTTGAGTTTTGCCGTCTCAAAACTGACCGCCACAATTCCGCTTTGAAAAATGTGCGGGGGTTTTTCATTATCGATAACTTTTGTTTTGCTTAAAAAAGACTATTAAAAAGAAAATACCAAAAATAACTAAAAATAACTGAAACGCATAAGATTTTGGTATATTGTCGGTAATTTTTGCTGTATAGACCTGTTCTCTTCACACACAAGGGGAGTTAAGCTGATAACAAGTCCCAGCTCAAGATGACATCTGATTTTTGAATGCAATCATATTTTGGTCTCTTTCTTTGCATTCAGGAAACTTAGTATAAATGCTCTTTGTACTACGACGCGTTAAGAGCTTTTTGTTGTTGCATGAAGTATATTGCAATAGTAACAAATTCTTAGGAAATCCCTACGCGACCACAACCAGGTAGGCACATATTAATCACAAACAATATTATTTCACATTAAAAATAATATAGCATTATTTACACTCTCTGAAAAGTTACAGTAACAATCAAGATGCCAATTGATACCCGCGAGCTTATGGAAGCTATTGCAATAATAGCTGACGAAAGGAATATTCAAGTTGCCATGAAACAGACGGGCAAGGGAACAGCGATCTGTGCCGCTTGCTGCTTTGCTGGTGGCATGCTGATGGGTCCCGTTGGTTTGGCCGTTGGTGGTGCCGCTGGCGGCATTGCTGCCTACAAAATGACCAGTGGTGTGTAGTGTTCTGTGTTCGTTTGGAGCGCTGCTCCAATTAATGACGCATTTATCAATTTTCTTTACTTGTGATAACAGGAACGTTTAAGCCGCTTGGCGAGGTCATATTGAACGATTTGACGGACAGACAACGCGAAAGTCTGGTGCAGCATGTCACAAATGCAATCGCTGAGATTCACCCTACAGACGTGGTATTGCTCCTGCCGCTGATAGCAAAAAATGCATCCATACAACAGGCCATACTCAACACAATTATGTCGTTCGTTAGCAACGAGCTGCGCATGCAAATTGTTGACTGATTGTCTAACCTGGCGCATAAGGGGTGTGAGTGTGTGAGTTAGCTATATATGATATATAGATTTATTAATAAATGCCTTAGATCTACATATACATATACATATACATATATATATTATAGCAGGCTTCTAGTTGAAGAAAAAGAGGCGAGCCGTGAATAAAGAAAAGTTAGCCGACGTGTTTAAAAGAGAGAAATATATTTTAGTTTTGACTGCCACAATATGTAATTATAAGCAATACGGCCTCTGCTATTCCCAGCCAAGGTTCACTTGATCCCAATTCTCGACAAGGGGCTGATCAATTGTCTCGATCAGCAGGCCACAATAGAGGCAATCGGCGGCAAGTATTTCTTCGATTTCCGTTTTCAGTTCGATGCGTTTCTTCTGCTGATCCGGTGTGTGATTGGCGGTGCCAACTGTTTGTGCCATTAACGTTTCCATTTGTTGCTTAAGCAGGCTAAGTCGACGACTGCGCTCCTTGCCAAGCATTGGTGCCACTTGCTTATCGAGGCAATCGCTGTGGAACTTATGTCCACATATAAATACAAAGAACGGCTTCACCAGCAGAATGAGATCGCAAACATCGCACACATCCTGCGCCTCCATCCGAATACTGTGTGCCTTCAGTTGGCGCAGCTCCTTACAGACGCGTTCCGACTGCTCTTTGGATTCACACATTTCTCTTTGCAGCTCCTGTATCCGCTGGTTGTAGTCCTGTGTCAAATTGAAAATAGTTGCAATTAAATAATAATGTTCTTAATCAGTCAAAACCTACTTTCAGAGCATCACAGATAGCCTCTTTGAAATTATCGATTTTCTCGAAATCTGAAAAGAATGGCAGCAGATCCTCAATTTGCAATAGATAGTCGCAATCCTTTAACAGACTGAGTGCCTTCTTCACATCGTTCGTGCCCTTAATTTCATGGTAGGCTAAAAGATTCACATAGTTAAATAAATAAATAAATCATGGGGTACAGTGATCACTTGCAAATCGGTACACTGACATTAGAGGCAACATTTTGCGAGCAAAAACTGTACTGTGCAATGAATATTCACCAATGCGAAGCCACAATTTACGTCGCGTCTCATTGTCCTTGGGTATTAATGCCGTCTTTTTGGCCAATTTCATATCGAACTCAAGGGCCAAATCGACGGCAGTTGTCCACATGCACAGCATGCATTGTAGAAAGACGCAGGCCTCCTTAATGCCTAGTTCGGTGCAGACCTTTAGTGCAAAATGGATATCGTAATGGACCAGGGACTCGTCCTGCCCCTGCAGATACAGATACTCCATCAGCAGCTTCTGTTCGTGCTGAGCGTACAGTTGCAGGAGAAAGTTATGTATGGCATTGTTTGAAGTGTTCAGTGTGAGGACGGCAAATCGGAGATAGCGTATAACATGCTCTCGCTGCTCCTGCGTATCGATTACAACCAGAGTGGGCACAATTTTCTCAATATCTAGCTTGGCATCTAGCGCAATCAGAGCGTCGATCGTTTGCCTCGGCAGTCGCACCATCAGTTGCGGTGCATATTTGTAGTAGAGCTGAAGATCACGTTGCCTGCACAGCGTTTGCAGTGCCTCCGCAAAGCAATCGGATTTCAGCTGCTGTCCGATCACCTCGTCGTAGTCGTTTATCGAAATTGCGAATTGCGCAAGACTATGTGGATCCGCATGCTCGGCAATCAGCTGGCGCACCGCCGTCCGATTCTTACTGGTGCATAACAAGACGGGCTCTTCCCGCATAAACTCATCGTATTCCGTTTGCCATTCGTGGCGCCACGTTTCGTCTTGGCCGGGCGTGTTAATCTGTGTCAGATAGAGATCTATAAGCCAAATGACTAACGCTTTTATGGCATCCGCTTGACTCTCGTCCGTTGCATTCACACTCGTGGTTAGTCGATTTAGTCGCTTCTTCACATAGTTAACAATCGGACGCTTATCCGGCAAATCCATGAATTTAAGGCACACCGTTTCGAACGTCTTATCGGTTTCGGCATAATAATTGGCTGCCACTTCGTAGGCGCCTTCCATGAACGCGGCCTCGGCACGTTCGGCCAACACCAATTGCAGGTTCTCGGGGTCTTCGGCCGCATGAGCCGTGGCCAGCTCGTATTGGCCACTATTTAAGTAGATGCGCCAAATGTTGCGCTCCTCGCGTGAAATTTGTAGGGTGAACACCGATTTGTCGGTGTAAACATAAATGATGCCAGTTACAGCATCGCGCTCCATATTCAATGGTCTACCGACTCGGACTTCATCGAATACTTCGTGGTAGACCAACTCCTGATTGAGCAGGCAGATGGCCCTTATGTGATCCATATAGAGCAGCACAGCATGATATTCCGTCAGCACGAATGTCTTGGGCACACTTATGCGCCGCTCTTCGTACGACAAATGCATCGCTTTCTCAAAATCCAGATTAATCAACGTATCCCCCAGCAGCGTGACAGTGCTGGTCGAATCAATTGATAGCTAAAATCACAAAACAAATTAACAATCAATTACTGCGCCGCTCCACACACACACACCCACCTCTCCAATCCGGATGCCAGCGCCGCAGAGCCAAGCCCATTGTTTAGGATATTTACTGTTGGGCGGGGCAAAGAATCGTATCAGGGAGTAACCCAAATCTGTCTTCTGTTTCTCACAGTACGGCTGCCGTTCGCCATTCACATAGCTGGCAAATATGGGCTGCAGTGAACGTTCCTCTGGCCTCAGTGTCTCCTCAAATGAGTAAATACAATTGGGTGTCGTCGCAACAACTATCCATCGATTGCTGTTCGGCACTCGCAGCACCTCCAGCCCATTTATCGGATATTTGGCGAGACCCTGGCCAAGATCGTACAGCTTTTTGCGATATGTGTCAGTTGTGGGTCCCAGCTCTGTCTCAAAGATAAGACCACGACTTGTGCCCAGCAGTATGGAGCCCGTTGTTGTATCCGTGCCGTGGTAAGTGTTGAAGGCCACCGATGTAATCTCATGATCTTTTAGCTTTTCGATGCGACGCACTTTCAATTGTACTCGGGACGTCTCCGTGCTGTGTATGTAGAGAAAGTCCGGCGAGACTCCGGGTGATTTGGGCACTAGAGATATGATCAGGTGATGACCCGTTGTGTCCAGAAAAATATTTGTTATTTTATAGCCAGTCAAATATTTCTCTAGCGCAATTTCTGTAAGCAAATTACAATTATTTAATTAATCGGCACGTAATCGGCAACACAGGAAAGGGCTTAGCTCACGGGCTGGCTGTGAATTCGGGCGAGGCAGAAAATACCGAAAAAGGATCAATCGGCCGTGTGTAGCCGCCAGCAGGTAGAACATCCAATTCCTTGAAACGCTCAAGTGCACCAGTTCCCCGCTGCAGTCGCTCGGCAGGTTGACGGTCATCTTGTGCTTGCTGAATATCTCGTCATCATCTGTCTCGAAAGGATTACCGCCGGCGGGGGCGACGTGAGTGTTTGTGCTGGCTGCGGAACTGTTCTCGATACGAGGCAGGAATTTTGGCTGCGACATCTTCGCGTTTGCCATATTGATGTAGTGCAGCTGGATTAAACAGAGTGCTTAACAATGGGGCCTACTTTTAATCTTCGTCTTTCGGTTACTTGTTATTTTCCAATAAACGCCCAGTGCAGTGTGACCAATGCTAGATAACTCAAAATACCAAAATTATGATGAATAATTCCAAAAGCTTCGCAGTATTTTTTCGTCATACTGATTCATATAAAAAGCGACGGTTTTGAATGTAATTTGTAATATAAACAAACTTATTGTTAACATATGTATATAAATATCGCTTAATTTATTTTTTCATATTTCTGATAATTATAAGCTAATTATATTATTGGAAAGATGATCACACATCTACTCGGACAATTTGCAAATCAATCTTTTCGCTTTCTGCGTTTTGCCTACAAAACACTCGGTTTCCGTAAACCAAATCCGCTTGTGGATGAAATGCGCATGCTTCTGACCCAGAACGGCATCCAATCTAAAACGACGCCTGTGCCGACGATATCCCAGATCGTTGGTCAAGACGAACTGCAATGTAATACATAATATTATTTATAAATATATACTGAATACGTGTTGAAATAATAACACCGCTCACCGCCACATCATGATTAGTTTGCAAATTACGCATGTAATCGTGCAGTTCCATTAGCAGCTCCGTCCGCTCGAAGACGTTGTCCAGCATTCGTATTGCAAACGATATGGAGTCGACGACAATCAGTTTTATCTGCAAGGTGAAACAAGATTTGGTTTAGCCAGCCAGCGAGTAGTTGTAGTTTTGCTTGCATTTGGATCATCTTCGAGGTACTTGTGGCAATTCAATATGCCCGCCACAAGCTGAGCAGCATTGCGGCACTCCAAGTAATGCACGTTCCTCAACAAATCCGATGCGCTGGGAGTTGATTCCATCTGCCATCGGCGATCCAGACTCTTCGCAAGGTCTTCGGCCAGATCTGCATGCATGCAATTATATGTGCATATATATATATGTATATATTTATCATATGTGATATTAATATGACCAACTTCTTAGTGCATCCGGATTGAAGGCCATTCGAGTGTCCAAATATAAAGCCTTGCCTGCCAAACCACGAGCGTCTTTAAGTATTTGAACATTTAGACAGAGCTTCATACTACAATATGGGTTCAGTTCAGTTCGGTGCAGTTGGTTAGTTAGTTTTAATGTATGTGGAATTAAGAACGGATTCATGCTACTTGCCACAGCTGAGTGCCGCCGGTGCCTGGTTTGCCCACAATCTCGTAAACCTTTCCGGTTCGGATGCCACCTCGCAAGAATTTGTCAAGGGGTCCTATGTCCGTTTTGATCCGCTGCGAGCTGCAGTGTTTTCTCAAATACTGCTTCGCAGTTAAGAATTCCATTCAGACTTTTGTTTTATGAATGCAGATCGAAAGACTGCCAATATACGATTATCGATAACATTGTTTCAAATCTGGTGCGATAACATCGGAATAATATTCACTATCGATCATATGTGCTGCCAGCTGTCACTAATAAAAATAATATTTTATTTAAATAAAAGTTATGGTACATTTATTCTTCTAAAAGTTTTTACAGTACCGTTTATTTATAAATGAATTTAGCTACTAAATATGAATATCGAATCAATAATCAATAATTAAAGGAAGGCTTATTTATATAGCAAGAAATGTACCTATGTATACATGCATAGACTAAATCGGTTTATATTTATTTTTGAACAGTTATAAACATAGATTCATAAACAACTCAATTTTCGATTGTTTATATGATAGTCATTGGACTGTGAATAGCTGAAGTGTGAAAGGTAATTCATTCAGCATTCCACTACGTTAGTTGTGTATTTTGTCGGTAGAGAGCGCTGGTAATATCGATGGTGTAACCTTTGTGGCCTGTGTGTTCAATAAGAGTAAGTAATTTTATTTTTAGTTTTTTACTGTTTTCGTCCTTTAATTCGAACTCATTCCACTTTGAACAATCGCGAATGTGAATTCTATGAATTTATTGTTTCTAAGAGTAGAGCTATGTCGCAAACAATAGTTGTGCACTCTGCCGGTAGAGAGCACTTTAGCAGAAAGTTCGATAAGTCAATTTTATAAGATTTAATAACAGAACAAGAGCTTATATTTTCATATTTTGAATTTTTGAAAACTGATTAATTTTTTAGTCGTGTCCCAGTTTGTCCTCTAGATTACTACTAATTCCAAAATGTATGTACTTACCTTTTTGGGCTTTCTTAAACTAGTTTTTATTGAACAATTGAGTGTCCCCAGAATTGCCGTGCGAAATTTACTGCAAGTGAATTCTACATCTAACATGTTTGAATTTATATATTTTTATGGTAGCCATTCTTCGTTGTTTTCGCAATGAATTTACTTAGCTGTTGAAATGATGTCCAACATCTGGGACCAATATCTGGTACTCCTTCGGATATTGCTCAAAGACAGTAAAATACACAAAAGACGTATGAGATTTTTTGAACTTTTATTTATAATTTGTGTTTTTCTCTGTATACATGTAATTGTAGTATGTTATATTATTACATATATATGTACATATATGTATATAACATATACATATATATATACATATATAAATATATATATACATATACATACATATGTGAAGGTATATGTATATTCATTTTGCGCATTTGCTGCTCATTAAGGTTTTTCAATAATTCAAATGTGGTTAGTATACTTCAACATACATAATTCCTCGTTTGTGTTTTTTTCTCTGCTATATTTAATAGATATAGACATCAGTACATATATACATATATGTATATATATATATATGTACTCAAACTTGTCGACTTCGACTGCCTAGCTCATAACTTTGTATTCGTCTTAGTTTTGATTTCGACTACTTCGACTTTGACAATGCTTTAGCCAGGGAGCATCTTGCATACTTTATCGAGTTCCTCCGCTTCTTCGATTACATACATATATTGATAATAAAAAAATGTACAATTAATATTGTTTGAATGTATGTATGTATATGCATACGCAATTAATTTCTCTGTTCTTTTTCTGTGTGCAATTTTTTTTTGTTTTTGTTTTTTTTTTGCTAATTGTTGTGTAATGCCTTTTTTTCGTTTTTATATAACTTTTTTCTCGATAAATTCGGACTTTTAAAGTGTTCGAAGATACAGTTAAATTATCCTAGTAAAATCTAAAAAAAAAATATATATATATATATTTATATATTTATGTATTTGATTTTAAAACTAATTTGCAGTAAAATATATTGCGGGACATGCGCTAAAATGTGAGGGTTATTAAAAAAAAGGAAAAGGAGAAAAACATGTACATTTGTATGTCGCAGTTTTACTATTGCAAAAAGTGTATCTTTAATGAAGCCAAAAGTCTTGAGAAATGCAACTGCATAATAAAAACATTTAACAGCATATACAAATATTTATGTATATGTACAAACATTCATATGTACATATGTATGCATGTATATCATTGATGTACTTCAATCAGAAATCGTGTTTCATTTCTTTCTTTTTTCGCTTTTTCATTCTTTTGCTTATGCAATACAATTAGGTCAAATCAAAAGAAGTTCATGACAGATTTGATTTAAAAATTGTTATATGGTTGCCGCTATTAAGTATAAATATCGTAATCGCCATTTTTGTGCTATACATTAAATTTTCTTTAATCTTTAAATTTTGTAGGTAATCACAGATTTTTGTTTTTAAATACCGAAAGTTAAATTTAAATCAATGAACAGCATAGTTTCAAATTTATTTGGTTTTTTTGTTTTTGTTTTTTTTTTTTTATATAATAATATATATAATTTGGACTAATAATTTTCAATTATCTAAATGTTGTCTCATGTGTGATAAATTAACTTGTTTTTTGTTTTGTTTTTTTTTTTTTGTTTGTTTATTTGATATGCGTTGCATTTTCAACATTTATTTTACGGTCTTGTGGAATTTTGAAGATTTTTGCAATATACATTTTAGTAGTATGTGTGTAGTGGGGGGGGGGTCGTTTAAAATAAAACAGATACAACGGCTCACACTCCCCAGTGACTCGTTACTTAGTGTCTGGGAACTTGGATTCTTAAGAGAGTTGTTCTCGTATATATATAGCATTGGCTTTGTTGTATATAGCATAAGGTTCGTTGGCTAATTAAGTATTCAGTATTCAGTATTCAGTATTCAGTATGTATGTATTTATGGCCCCAACTTAAGCCCTTATGATGCGGGCTATGCTTTTGATAAATATATACGTAGAATGAATACATGTATGTATGCATATATGCATTCCATATCCATTTTAAAGGTATATGTCTAAGTAAATTAACTCGTGCATACATATGTATGTATGTATATACGCAAGTGTACATAATTACATATAAAGATTAAGCTATTCACTACATCGATAATGGTGAATATTATATATATATAGTTTGAACGACTTCCTGTCCATCCGATGGCCGATGCTACTTACTCCTAACATTACTTATAAGCCCTTTTCTGGTTTTCTATTAGCTGGATCCCTGCTGAGATTTCTGCTCTTCTCCTGCGTTCTTCTGTGTTGCTTTAGGTGTGGGTCTGTCTGTAATTCCTGATCAGAAACTGAATCTAGGTATGTATGTCTGTACTAATGTTCAAGATTGGCACAAGTCTGCCCAATTTCCTGTTTTTTTTTTTTTGTTTGTTTTGAGCGGTTAAATATAAACTTGCATTGAGTGCACTCAAAAAAATATTATAAAAAGTGTGACTTCAAATGAACTAAGCTTATATCGAGAAAAAGTGTTCGTGGTGTGTGTGTGTTTTTTCGAGCCAACTGTTGTGTTTTGTGTTTTGATTGAGAAAAATGTTTTATTTTTTTTTTTTACAAATTCCAAAAAGGATAATTTTGAATAATTTTTATTAAAACTAAACAATTTATTCATGTATATTAATGAGAACATAAGTGTATGTAAATAGAAAAATTTCACAAAAAATAATACAAAAGTTTGCTTTGTTTTGCATTCACAATAATAAAGAGTACGTAAACAACAATTTTGCATAGTAAATAAATTTGTTAAATATACATAAATAAAATTAAACAGCCAAAAAATGAATTTTGTACAAAGAAAAGTAAAGTGTTCACTTTTCACTTTACACAAAGATTTTATAGATCACAGTTTGTTTTTCATTTGCATTATTTTTCGTTTCGCACTTTTGAAAGACGACAAGTTTAAAGAACTCAGCTAAATAACTACATACAAGTAAAAAATGTTTGTATTTATTTATTTTAATTTTTTTTTTTAATTAAACGGGGTCGGAAATATGTTTATTTGTTGTTATATTTTAAAGAGCTTAAAAACAATTTTAATAAATTTGTTTAAAATGCGAACACCTTAAACTTAAAACGGTGAAAATTACCAAACAGTTATTAATAGATTTTGGCAAGCCCAGAGAGAAAGAGAGAGAGAGAGAGAGAGAAAGTGAGATAAAGAGAGAGATAGAGAGATACCTACTTATGTATGTAAGTATGTATGAATTGTATGCATGTTCTTATGTACTAAATATCTGAATATGTATATTCTTGAGTAGGGCTACAAATGATTTTTTTGCTCTTCCAGACCATGCAACAATATTTGTTAGATTCAATAAATTATTTAAAACTATAAAACCGCTCACACCAGAGGTAGTCGTAGTATATGGTTTTGCTATTCCCCTTTAGTCCAAGGCTCAACAGACACTGATTGCGTTGTAATTGTAATTGTAATTGTAATTGTAATTGTAATTGTAATTGCAATTGTATTTGTATTTGTAATTGTAATTGTATTTGTAATTGTAATTGTATGCTTATATTGGTTGTTTGTATGCATCTGTCTGTATGTATGTACATCTATACATACATATGTATGCGGGTACATTGGATGGAATATTTATTTGAACGTTGCTAAAGCAGTAGCTAAATAATGTTTCACTGTTTTCGCTGTGAATTACATACATACACGTGGAGGACGACCTTTCTTTCATCTGATTGCAAAAAAAAAAAACAAAAAACAAAAAAAAATGAAGAAGTCATTTATAAATATGCATATCTATCAATTGATAATTTGAATGTACACTTTTGTGGCATCAGCATCGGCATCAGCAAGGAAGCCACAATCAGCCCCCTTCCAATACAAATCATTGATATTGTTTGACAAAATTGGTTGTTCGCTTTCCTTCAGCTTTGGCACATTTGCATGCCACAGAAACACACAGAAAATTTGTATCCCGTTCTTGTGGAAAATGTCTTGAATTAAACAATTACAATTCTTTTTGGCCAAAGATCGATCTCGATATGAGGTATACATAAAAATCGACGAATAGATTTGAATGTTTTTCATTTCATGCACTTTTTGCGGTTATTGTTTCATTTTATAG